GAGGAATCCCTTGAGAAGCAGGGCCTATATAATGTGTGTCTCTCAAATAACAATAATCATAAACTTATGTGATAAATATTATTCATATAAATTTGAGAATACAGAAGAAAGGGGGCAGAATATATTAATCTTCACTTCAAATACCATTTCCCTTTATTCTTCGCTCCTGTCTTTCTTTCGCTTTCCCCATCTTTTCTTTTTACTTCTTTCTCCTTCTTTTCTCTTTACTTCTTTCCCAGAACTAGCTATCGAACGCTTGTCACGTATAATTATTATATCTCTCTCTCTCGCTCTCACTGACTCTATAGTCTACGGTCATCAATGTCGTGTTTTGTTAATTGTTATATCCCTGGTTTGCATGTTTTTTATATTATTATTCTGCTTGGGTCTAATTCCATCCTATGTATTAACGTTGCTTCTCATCTAGCCTTTCTCTCCCTCAATTTTCTTCCTCTCCCTCTCTGTCTGTCTGTCTGTCTGTCTCTTTCTCTATCTCTCTCTCGTTTCTCTATGACCCAGCTGTTTATGTATTCTCTCTCGTGTTGTTGTACATGCAAAAATATTCAATGCAAAGTATACATCACAATGGGGTCGAATTCACAAGATCTTTAAATAGATCTTTAATCTGACCCCCACTCAATGTATGTTACTTGTGCTTTTAACTACTGATTTTACTATGTCCATCTTTTTATATTTGTCATATGCGTTCATACGCAATTTTATGGATCTGTTTTTATATATTGAGACTGAGTGAATAAATGAATTGAATTGAATGGAATACGTAACTTAACACATCATTCTCATTATGATAAAAACAACACCTATATCTAATTTATTTATATTTAATTAATATTTAACTGTGTCTCGTTTCTATATAACTGTATCATGTTTATGATTATTTTATGCCCTGCTTTTGGTGAATCCATTGTCCGTGTGATATGTATGCCATGTCGTAATATTATGTCTGTACAATAATTATCTATCTGTAACACTATCTATTTTGATTATGAAATCAAATATCGTTTTATAATGTTCGAAACGTACGTCTAGCCACTCCTAGTATACCCATCCTCTAGAAGTATGAGCTCAGGAAAGATTACCAACAGTCCTTTTCAGGACTACACACACACTCAAGAAAGAAAGATTACCGACAGTCCTTTTCAAGATTCCCCAATCCACCCCCTCTCTCACATGGTGCAACCGCAAGCTTACTAAGCAGCACCTAACATTTATATCATTATCATACATCGGGTGATTATGGTGGCCCTGAAGGGACATCGCGAATAAACTAAATCGTGAAAAATATGCGATAAAATTCACGATATCGTCAATTTTATCGCATATTTTTCACGAAGAAATTCACGAAATTCACGATATCGTGAACTTTATCGTGAACTTTTCACGATGAAATTGACGATATCGTGAATTTTATCGTGAAAAGTTCACGATATAAAGTTCACGATATCGTCAATTTTATCGTGTACTCTATCGTGTACTCTATCGTGTACTCTATCGTGTACTCTCCGTACACAAAACCAGCCCTAGCTGGGGGAGACAGAGAGAAGGAAAAAAGGGAAAGGGAAAGAGAAGATAAAAGGAAAGAAAGAATAATAAGAAGAAAAGAGGGAAACGGGGGGGGGGGGCGAAGGGCTCTTGCCTCCTCCTCACTCCCCCCCCCCTCCCCGCCAAAAAATAAATCAGAGAGAGAGAGAGAAGGGAAAGGGAAAGGGAAAGAGAAGTTAAAAGGAAAGAAAGAAGAGGAAGAAGAAGAAAAGAGGAAAACGGGGGAAGGGCGAAGGACTCGTCCCCCTGCCCCCCGCCAAAAAATAAATAAGAGAGAGAGAGAGAAGGAAAGGGAAAGAGAAGAAAGAAAGAGAAAAACGAAAAAGAGGGAGAATAGGAAAGAAAGGAAAAGAAAGAAAAGAAAGGAGGCAAGAGCCCTTCGCCCCTGTTTCCCTCTTTTCTTATTCTTTTTCCTCTTCTTTCTTTCCTTTTATATTTTCTTTCCCTCTCCCTTCTCTTTCCCTTTATGGCGGGAGGGGGGGAGGGGGAGGTAAGAGCCTTTCGCCCTTCCCCCGTTTCCCTCTTTCCGTCTTCTTCTTCTTTCTTTCCTTTTATATTTTCTTTCCCTTTCCCTTTCCCTTCTCTCTATCTCTCTCTCTCTCTCTCCTATTTATTTGTTGGCGCGGGAGGGGGGGAGGAGGCAAGAGCCCCTCTTTTCTTCTTATTCTTCTTCCTTTCCTTTCCCTTCTCTCTCTCTCTCTCTTATTTATTTTTTGGGCGGGGGGATGCAAGAGCCCTTCGCCCCCGTTTCCCTCTTTTCTTCTTCTTCTTCCTCTTCTTTCTTTCCTTTTATCTTCTCTTTCCCTTTCCCTTTCCCTTCTCTCTCTATCTCTTATTTATTTTTTTGGCGGGGGGTGGGGAGGGAGGAGGCAAGAGCCCTTCGCCCTTCCCCCGTTTCCCTCTTTCCTTCTTATTCCTCTTCTTTCTTTCCTTTTATATTTTCTTTCCCTTTCCCTTCTCTCTCTTATTTATTTTTGGCGGGGGGGGGGGGAGGAGGCAAGAGCCCTTCACCCTTCCCCTGTTTCCCTCTTATTCCTCTTCTTTCTTTCCCTTTCCCTTCTCTCTCTCTCTCTCTCTCTCTCTCTTATTTATTTTTTTGGCGGGGGGGGGGGGGGAGGTAAGAGCCTTTCGCCCTTCCCCCGTTTCCCTCTTTCCTTCTTCCTCTTCTTTCTTTCCTTTTATATTTTCTTTCCCTTTCCCTTTCCCTTCTCTCTCTCCTTATTTATTTTTTGGCGGGGGGGGGGGGGATTGAGGAGGAGGCAAGAGCCCTTCGCCCCCCCGTTTCCCTTTTTTCTTCTTATTATTCTTTCTTTCCTTTTATCTTCTCTTTCCCTTTCCCTTTTTTCCTTCTCTCTGTCTCCCCCAGCTAGGGCTGGTTTTGTTTACGAAGCGCCCGTCAGGAGAGTACACGATAGAGTACACGATAGAGTACACGATAAAATTGACGATATCGTGAACTTTATATCGTGAACTTTTCACGATAAAATTCACGATATCGTCAATTTCATCGTGAAAAGTTCACGATAAAGTTCACGATATCGTGAATTTCGTGAATTTCTTCGTGAAAAATATGCGATAAAATTGACGATATCGTGAATTTTATCGCATATTTTTCACGATTTAGTCTATTCGCGATGTCCCTTCAGGGCCACCATAGGTGATAGACTTACAACGAAGAATGACATAAGACAGGACACAAAGACATAACAAATAAATTTACAAGACAAAGGCTGCACATGAGAGCGGAGAAAAAGAGGAGATTGGAGAGAGCAGTTATCTAGAAAGATGCGACTGCCTATCAGTAAACTGTTACGTGAAACTCTCTGAACCGCAAAGATGCAAACTTTAACTCAGTCAAATAAATTAACGATTGCTTAACAGACTAATTTATTGCTGATTGTTGTGCAAATTACCAGTCATTCTCGATCAAGAGAATCTAACAACAACAAATTTGTTTTTTAAAAGAGGGGGATTTCGAGGCCCGAGGGATAAATATATTGAGATATAATTATACATTAATAAATGTTTCTGATATCGATAGACTTCAACGAATCCAGAATCGTGCAGCCCGTATTATTTCAAATGCAAGAAAATACGATCATGTGTCTCCCTTGTTAAAACAACTACACTGGTTACATGTTCATAAGAGAATAATGTATAAAGTTTCACTATTTGTTTATAAATCCATGTATAACCTTATCCCATCCTATATTTCTAGTCTGTTTTGTCCCATCCAGCAATCAAGATATCCATTACGTTCAAGGTCACACCCCCTTCTTCTGCAAATCCCCCGCATCAATTCGAAGAAGGGTCAACAAAATATAATTTTTTTCTGGTTGTTGTTGGTGTTGTTGTTGTTTTAATTTATAGGCGTTTTTCATTCAGAAGTGAATATTTACGCCTCTTCTCTCAGGATTTTTATTCCTTTAAAATTAGATTTACTTTTTTTGATATATAGATTTGGATAAATTGGATTTTTAAAAGCTAAACTTTTATTTAATGATGAAGAATTCAGTGGCTGGCGAGCAAAAGGCTTATCGGCTATATAGGACGCCCAAGGACCAACTCTAATTGGACCACTATTTGGAATAGTCTCCCTTTAAGTATTCGTTCTTGCACCTCAGTCGCATTATTTAAGAAACATTTAAAAACTCATTTGTTTTCTTTGTAATTGTCATTTTTTAGAGTGTAATGCACTTGGAGAGTATATAACTATTATGTTTGTATTTTAAAATGTAAAGCGCCTTGAGCATGTTCATGTAAAGGCGCTAAATAAATACCAATATGTATATGTATACATAACGATAAATAGCAGTAAACACAGTGGGAATAGGAAAAGAGAAAGGGAAGAGAGAGAGAGAGAGAGAGAGAGAGAGAGAGAGAGAAGGGGTGGTAGGGGAGAGAGAAAGATAAAGAGATAGACAGAGAGAGAGAGAGAGAGAGAGAGAGAGGGGGTGGAAGTAAATGTTAATTTTTTTTTTTTGTTAAGTGGGGGCTATATAATGCTAGAAGGTGAATGCTAATTGTTAAGCAGAATAAGTAGACATGCAGAGCTTTAAATCGATTGAATTGACTTTAATAATTAGTGTTGGTATACTCTAACACCACATGAATAATACTATCGGTGACAATACCCTTTTTAATATTATTTAATTGATATTATGTTTAGCATGTTGTAGGTGTGTTAACTATTTATGTTGTATTTGACATGATTAATGTATATTTTGTTTACTTGTTTGTTTCGTTTGCCGATCGATTTGGAAAGAAACAAGAAGATTAGGAAAAGGGAGTGGGGTGCATGGGGTGTTACTTTTCGCCAGTTTATATCTGAGTACAAAGAATCTTCCTACTTCCCGCATAATGATCGTTCTTGTGCCACCTGTTCAAAGGAATGTATAGTACAGTCATATATTGTCTATGTTTGGGGTTCCAAGAGGACCGACTTTTTAACTCCACAGTATTTGTTACTCGATCTATTATAGATGTTCTTATCTTTTAAATAGCTAATTCTCCACGGGTATCTTAGATGTCTTTATTCCAAGACGCGCACGCCGGATTAAGACACATTGTTTGGGGCACGCTTTTGCTTTGGGACGGAGTAGAGCTGTGAATAGAGAAAGGAACAAGAGGGCTTAATCATGACACAATAGGCGACGGTAACTCCTCCATCCGGACGACAGACGGGGTTTATTCTAAGAGCAAAGAAAACCCCTAAACAGAGGTCCGATCGTTTAGATGGTTAATTTATTTGGGATCGCGAAACACACAATAGAGTTTTTAATCAGTCCTTTATGTATGTTCCGTTTTACAGGCATTTAAATATTGAAGAGAGTCATTCGGTTGTCAGAGCTCCGTGGGAAGAGGTAGGAGACAAGTCATTTGGACGTTAGCTGGCAAGTTACATGCTCTTTGTAAGACAGGCTCTTTCTGGAAATCATTTGCTGATCAACAGATATCGGGTCGAGACCACTCTAGACTGTCGTGCCAATATCTGGAAGATGTCACCAGTTGTAAGCAGAAATCGAATGCGAACTCGATCCGTAAGTCGAGGGGATACATCAGATAGTTCGATGATGAAATCACCGTTGAAACATCAGCACCTAGGACGTCGCCAATCCCAGGTCGACGATGATACCATTATGACGCCGAGAGAACTTGCAAGGACGATAGCTGAATTCCGAGTAGGGTTATCATCATCTTTATCAACTTCAACCAATGATTCGAATGACATGGAGGACTATAAGAATACTGATGCTGATAACCAGATGGATACTCATCTTGAGAAAGATGGTAAGAACTTTTTTTGTTATAATTTTCATGTACGAGCATAACAATGAATACAGTGTTTCTCGAACAAACGTTCTGGGAACCCAAAAATTAAATATTAAACGTACCGGGTATTTCTCTGCAAATAACCTATTTTGCTATTAGCATATAGATCTAAACACATTTCTTTACTTCGGCTTATAATTATGTAACAATTCAACTATCACGACTTCTGAACTTTGTCCTTTAATGAAGACCCCGATTTTTTTCTTTCTTCTTAATATTCTCCTACAGCAAAGCTTTCACGTTCTAAGCAAGAGAATTCAAGTATTTGTTACTTGATTATTACAGGTGTAATTTAGCATTGTATGCAGCAGACGCTATATCAACCAAGTGTGATTATATTAATTATTTAAAAAAAAGAGCAAACACAACCTGATGCCAAATATTACCTTTTTAAAATGTGTTATGTGTAAAGCAATCAAGAGAAATGTGGTAAATATAATTATTTGAGATATTCTGAAGTATGGGAATTTGCTTCAAACTTTCCTATATACCAATGTAGTGATCTTCCCCCCAATAATTCACCCACACACTTCTTGTAAACTTGAAAGCATTGAGTACCTCAAAAGATTTTTAAACAATACTAGAAAAGGAAAGATTATAAAAAGCAGACAATGGATTATCGTGAAATCTTTGTTTCGGGTGGCTCTTTTCTGGAACGACAGAATTTAGACGTTTTCCTACAGCATCATACTAAGTTTTGGTCCTTTTGAAAAAAAGAAAGAACAAATAAACATTTCATATCAAATAAAAATATACACTGATGTGCCTTTTGTGAAAAAATGTCTCATTGGTATATTGTAGAAAAGTACACAAATTTCCACTTCATTTTGATCGGTGTTCGTTTTTATCTTTGGTTTTAATGTTCCAAACATTATGCTAATACATGTATTTCGTCATATTAGTACATCTCCTACCAGCAAACAAGTGCATTAATTATGTTTCTTAATGTTGACTGCCCTTGCCTTAAGTCTTTTATCTTAATGATGATCCTTCCTCTTTTTTGTAAGAGTTAAAGACCATCAGAGTAAATCTAGAACGTTACACATGCGGGCAGCAGTGTGGATGCATGAGAGTTTATTGATTGACTGGCAAATAAACCATCTGCGCCTTAACACAATGAACTATTATACACCAGAGTTTAAAGGCTTGAGCTCGGCGGAAATGGTGCACCTAGTACAAAGAAATCTAAGAGAATAGGACCTGTTCGTTTTGTTTGCAAGGTTAAGTGCAGTGTACAAGAGCTTGGTTTATTTGAGTTATATAATGAAAAGTGATTTCCTTCCACACTTTCCTTAAGATTAGAATGAGGCCTTATCAATACAGTCATTTAGTCCTAGTTATACATTTACCAACCCTATCAGTTATCAGCAAATTAATTCCCTTTGATAAAATATTACAAGATATTTCGTCGGCGCATGGAAAAGTGTATTTTCGTCGAATTGTTGTCGGCACATTTGCGGGTTAACCCAAACCTCAACCACCGTGATAGTATATATTGCTATTCTATTTTGTTTATATTGATAAAAATTGGACCAGGCTGCTAGTGATGATTATTCAGAGCTCAGAGGTTAAAGAGATGCGGGCGGAATAAACATAAAACCAACCGGGGGATACGACAGGCCTGTAATGTACCTGTACATATATTTGAACACCAGATTGGCAATATACACAGGCGCGGATCCAGGATTTCTTAGGGGGGGGGGGGCCCACTTTTTTTTTTGGTCCGAAAAAAATCGTAACGACTCAGCCAGCCGCTAAATAAGCGGGGGGGGGGGGGGGGGGGGGGGGGGGGGAAGAGGACACTTTTTTTTTTTGGTCACGAAATTTGAAAATTTGACATTTTGTTCCGTTGGGGAGGGGGGGGGGTGAGGTCACCTTTTTTAGGTCAGCCATTGGCATTTTTTTATTTTTTTTATAATAATAACAACAAAAAAAAACTCACAGAAAAGGGGAGGGGGGGTTGCTCCAAAATACACACATAAAAAACCGCTAACCCCCTCCCCACCGTTCTCGACTCTTAATCCTCATCTGAATTCAGTTTTCTCCTCCTCCCTCCCGCGCGAAGCGCGGAAGCTTGTACGTTTCATTAAATCATTAGAGAAAGAAGACGATTCGTTGTACCGTTCTCGACTCTAAATCCTCATCTGAATTCAGTTTTCTCCTCCTCCCACCCGCGCGAAGCGCGGAAGCTTGTACGTTTCATTAAATTATTATAGAAAGAAGACGATTCGTTGTACCGTTCCCGAAAATTATCCTCGTCTGAATTAAGTTCCCCCTGCCCTCCCCCGCGCGTAGCGCGGAAGCTTTGACGTTTCATTAATTCATTAGAGAAAGAAGACGATTCGTTGTACCGTTCTCGACTCTTAATCCTTGTCTGAATTTCAAATATGTTCTTTGTCTATTCTCTTTTCTTCCTACGTCCTCTTCCTTTACACTCCTCTCTTTTTTGGCCGGCGTTTATTGGGGGACCACCTCACCGCCCCCTGGCTACGCGCCTGCTGTCAGATGAACATATGTTGATACCTTGTCCGCCCCGGAAGCTCAGGGGTTTAAGGTTTTAATTTGATGTCAGATTAGCATTCAGGGGTCCGCCTTAGCGCCCTAGACGGGGTCCAGGGGGCAGAGCCCCGGAAGTTCAGGAGTTTAGGCATTTAATTACGGTCAGATGAGCATTATTTTGATACCTATTTGTTACAATAGCAGGTCACTAATTGGCTTGGGGTTCAGGGGGCGGAGCCCCGGAATCTCAAGGGTTTTAGGCACTCAATTACGGTCAGATGAGTATCGAGGGGCCCGCCTAAGGGCTCTTGGCTGGGTCCAGGGGGCAGAGCCCCCAGAAGCTCAGGGGTTTCAGGCGTTTAATTACGGTCAGATGAGCATTTTTGATACCTTATTATTTGTGACACTAGCAGGACACTATTTGGCGTGGGGTCCAGGGGGCAGAGCCCCCAGAAATCAGGGGTTTTAGGCATTAAATGACCATCATATGAGCATCTAAGGGCCCGCCTTAGGGCCCTAGGTGGAATCCAGGGGGCAGAGCCCTTAGGATTTTAGGCATTAATTTTAATCATGGTCAGATGAGCATATTTTGATACCCATTATAATGTGACACTGGCAGTTATCTATTTTTTCTTTCTCGCTCTCTTTCTTTCTATTTCTCTTAAATATACTTTTTCAAAGAAAGTGTGGGGGAGGGGCTCGAGGATCCCGATCCCCGCCGTTCCGCGGGCCCTGATATGTAGGCATCTCAAGAAGCATTTTTTTGCCTGGCTGTAAATTTAGGAATTTGTCATTTTCCAACAAACGCATGAAGTGAGGAAAATTATCTCATTTCAGCATTATTTGTTAACCACCGTTATGGAATTATAAATAAACCACGTTTGAATTCTCTTTCTCCAACCCCCCCTCCCCTATCAGTATGCCAGTGCCCCCCCCCCCCCGCTCCGATCTACACCTTGTTGGCGGGAAAATTGCAACTGATATCCCTTACCTTTCTTCATTCTCTTTTTTTTCCTTTCCCTTTCTCTCCTCTTTCACTTTCCCTTCCCTTCCCTTCCTTATCTCTCTTTTAGGTTTGCTGAGGGGGGGGGGGGGGGGGGAGGGGGGGGGGGGGGGGGGGGAGGGGCACGGTCATTTTGGTCCCCAACCCGCTCCACACATTGTTGGCGGGATTAACCGCAACTGATCTCCGCTTCTTTTCTCCTTTTTTTCTTCCTCTTTTTGTTCCCTTTTAGCTCTCCTCTTTTCCTCTTCCTTCCTTCTCTCTTTTTTGAGCGGTCTTTTGCCCCCTCGATCCACAACTTGTTGGCGGGAAAATTGCAACTGATATCCCCCTTCTTTTCTTTTCTTCTTCCTATTTTGTCCTTCCCTTTATCTCCTCTTTATCTTTTTTCTTTCCCTTTCCTTCATTCTCTTTTATTTTTTTATTTGGGGGGGGGGAGGGGAGGCAAGTCCTCCCCCCCCCCGATCTCCTTCTTCCCTCTTTTCTTTTCTTCTTCCTCTTCTTTTTTTCCCCTTTCTCTCCTCTTTCCCTTCTTTTCCTTTCTCTCTCTCTCTCCTTTTTTTTTTTTTTTTTTTTTTTGCGGGGGGGGGGGGGGGGCAAGGCACGCTCGCCCCCCCCCCCTGGATCCGCGCCTGAATATACATAGAAATGGATCGAGTCACAGAAGCTTAACCAACAACAAAAACATCATTGTTTTCCATTTCCTTGTTAGCATTATTTCAACGCACAGGACTCAATTGCAGAAAGGAAACAAAGGAAAGCCCCTCAACTCTTATCACCACGCAGTGCTAAAGACAAAAATGAATAAATAAATAAATGATTAATTAGATAAATAGATAAAACACAGTCGCAACTATTTTCGAATAATCAGCTATTGAAATGTGCGAACATGAGACAATGAGGTATTACGTCATCCAAACATGATTAATATGGGATATACAAGAGGGTATTGACATTCTCTTAAGTTGATTTTTCGAAAATAGTTGCGATCGTGCACTAACAATAATCCCTCCAAAATTGGGTAGCTAAAACATATCCATGGATGAGTGGAGATGGTGTGGTTTATCATATAACAAGGGCCCATGAACCGAAAGTTTGTAAATATCGTCGATTGTTTAGCTGAAATGTATCCTACCCATGTACAGTAACCATCATACTAATGCTATGCATGTATTTTTTTGATTAATTTGTCAGAAATTGCATCAGGCTCTGATCAGTCACTTGTTACTCCACCACCTGTCTTCAAGAGTACAAGCAGCTACGAGCCATCGAGTGAGAATCCTCCTATAAACCACACCCAACCCCCTAATGCCATGCCATACAGCTTCCAAACAACTCAGCCAGATGACAGTGGGAATGCATCTTCAGAAGAACCCACATCAAGGCCTCCTACAGGATCACATCGGAGAGGTTTTACATCAAGTGAGAAAGAACTCCTCGAAGCTGCCTTCCACATCTCAGATAATCCAGGCACAGCTACCATGAAACTACTTGTACATCTCACTGGGCTTGATACCAAGAAGATCAGGGTAAGAACATCTTCCACTGTCTGCCGATCATAGCCACTTAGCATTTTGTATATTTTGATTAGTATTTTTGTTTGTTTGAATGGTGGCATATCCATCGTCTTTGATTAGCGATACTGGCCAAGAAGAGGAAGAATGATTTCTGTTTGAAAGAGCATGAAATGCGAGTCTCCCGTATCTAGACAGCAGTCTGTACTGTTTTCCCTCAAAGCCATCCTATCTTTGGAAGGTTTTTGTGTATGTCAACATTGCACCTTTATCATATTTTAATTCGGAAACACTGTGGATGCCTTCTAGAATGCCATTAAAACACACCTTACTGTTGCCCCTCTGCATTGTTTATTTTGTAAATACAATTTATTAACATGACTACATTTCATTAACATTCTTGTTTTATTTGTTTTTATTTTTCAGGGGTGGTTTCGGACGAGACGAATCCGTCAAGAAAAAGAGGAAGCAAAGGCGGAGTCATCTGAGAACACACCACCAGTGACTGAACCAAAACACCAGGTACCTCCTCAGTACTGGCCAGAACCCTTGAGATTCTCACATATGCAACGGCCATACCCAGTACCAGGTCACCACTACAGAGCTCCACCAGGGTTAACAGCAATGGCTTCAGGGACACCTTCAATGTCATCAACCTTGCCATCCAAGGTACCATCAGGCTTCTTATATCCAGCACTACCACCGTCAGCTGTACCAACCATGGGACTCTTGCCTCCACCACCAACCCAGTGGTATCCACCATTGGGTTTTAATACTGGTCCACCACCACAGCCTTCCATCTCAAGTGAGGGTCAGTTACCATCAGGTTTACCATCAACATCAAATACAACACCAACTACAGGAGCACCGAAGGCACCAACTGGACCTTGGTACCCATCACCCAACACTGGCCACCCACTGCAAGGTGTCATCCCACCGTCCATTCCTACACCAGCTGGTTTCCTTCATCCCTGGTCATCTGTAGGATGCTATGGAGCACAGGGTGTCACCCCTCAGCACCCAAGCGTACCACCATTCCTCTCACATCCAGCCGTGCCATACTGCAATCCTTGGTATCCAATGCTACCAACTCCTAACTTTCAGAACCCAGTGCATCGACAGATTGGAGCACGAGCCGAGACTTCAGTAATGAATATAACATCAGCCTCCTCGACAGTTAAACCAATTTCTTCCCAAGTGACATGCACCAGACAAGAGCCCTCTGGGGTAGAGTCTGAAGCGTCTTCCACTGCTTAAGATGCTGCTAAAAACAGTCAAGTCCTTGGTTCTTTGAAGCTCAGGCATGTACTAGCATATACATGTACCAGCACTAACTCTACCGGTACAATGATTGAAAGACTCTTTTGATCGTAGCATACTTATCAAGACATTAAACTGTACAACTCATTGACAGTCTTTTTTTTTGGTGTAAGAAATATCCCTGTAAATATTACTCCCAACTCCATGATGTTATGTAAACATACTATCTGTTCATTTAGAAGAGTAAAACATGTGATGATTAATATTGTTATTAAGTTTATTGTGACAGAGACTATATGAAATTTATGACTTATAGCAACGCTTTATGCCCAAATTTTGTTCTTCCTTACATGATCTTCCATCTCAAATTCGATGACAACTCGGTAGTTTTGTTACAATGACAAAATCTCATTGCCATGCTTGGGGCTTGCTCCTTGCAAATATTTGTTGGGAAATTAGTGCAAAGTAAAGTACGGTATATTATCTTAAAAGGCACATTATGCATTTTCTAAATTTTGTGTCATCTCTGGATTTCTCTGTAAATCTCTGTGAAGACCAGAAACTTTTGCAAATACTGTAAACAACCATCATTTTGACGGCATGACATTTTCAGAATTGCACAAATCAGTGTATGACAGTTGTGATTCCATTATTTGGTGGCATAAACATTTTTACAAATCTGAACTACAACTGTATTTGCAAAAGTTGTGTTTATTTATACATGCAAGGTTTTTTTATATGACAGTTTATGAGAGGATGTAATATATTATAAGATTGATTTCAACTAAAAAAAATAACTGAAAACAACAAAAATATTCTAATCATTATTAGTGTTTCATTTTATTTTACATAACTTGTCACATATATTATCAACAGATAGTGGGGCATTTACATCCATGCATTGTACATTACCAGTAAGTTACAAAATAATATATATATGTTTAAATAAAAGGTATCTTCAAACAACATTGTACATGAATTCACTGTGTCTAGTTTCTATGCAAGCAATAAGAGATTTCAAAATGATCACTGATAAGCTTACTTTTAGATGATCATTTATCAGTTTATCTACTGTTATTTAATCATTATTTGAATGTTTTCTTACACTTTCTCAATTGACAAAGCTCCTCTGCAAAATCTCTCCTTATAATATCAACTTATGATACATTAACTTTCATTCAATGTAAATATCACACAGTGTGTATACATGGCAAGCAAGAAGTACATGTTTAATTTACAAATTAAAATGACATACAAAACACTATTTTAGCAGTACTCTGATAAAATAGATACTGTATAAATAATGTTGTAGTCATCATCATCATCATCATCATCAATATCAATACAATCATCAGGCAGCTGTAGTTCTTATAGAACTGGTGAGTTTGCATACTTCAACATTGAAAGAATAAAATATGAAAGAAAAAATGTCAGCAAAAATTTCATTTTCATAACTCTCATAATTCTGTTCAGGCTGAAATACTAAGATCTACATGTATGTCCTGAATGAATTGTTTATATTTGTTTCAGTTATCAAGTCATCCTTGAAGAGATAAGTACAATCGTTCAGTATAGCCATGCATATATTGCCATTATTTTGCACATATAGATCTAAAAAAGAGCTTGCAATCAAAAAACAAATCTCCCTCTCATCGAAGTCAGCACTATACCCTATATGAATGCCAGTTCTAATAGTATTTTTAGCAATGGCTAAAACAAATTAAAAAATTAATAAATAAAATCCTTCAAACATTTCAATTTGGCTTGATTGTGTGTGTGTGTGATTGGGTTTTCACAGACGTGTATCAATCAGATATGATTATTTACAGGTGGGGGCCGACTTTTAACATCACCATCTAAAAGTCCTAGGCTGAATCAGTTTGTAACTTTCATTGTTAGCCGGATTACAGGCGCACACCACCACGCCCCGTTATTTCCATGAATATCCCATATGAGCCATAAACGATTGGTAAATAATCATGAAGAAGAAAAAATTAATACGTTTATGTCAAGGTGACTTCTTACCTGACACAGTAACTAACTCATTGTCTGTTAAATATACTTGCCTGAAATTTCAATTCTCGCTACCCCAAATAGCGATTCTGCCGAGATCCGGGGAAAATCCTGAAAACGCGCATTGCATTATGGGATAGCTTTTCGACATTACAGCTTCCTGTGCAGGCGTTCGTGATCACAACCCTCTCTTTCACGGTAGAGTTTAACGGCCTTTTGTGCTAAAGTCACTAATTCTGCCCGAAGCTTTCCATTGCATATTATAATCTGTACAAATTACACTGATTGGCATCGATTTTAGCGTGCGTGAAAACTCTGCACAGCGAACACAGGCGCTAGCGCCAGCGGGATGCGACTCTATACCGGAAGTTGTAGTGACGACCCGAGAGAGTGAAAATTACCTCGTCTCGCGAATTTCGAGATTTTCGTACCTATTTAGGGTAGCGAGAATTACGGTAATCAACATTCCCCAATACTGGTTTGGAAAAATTGATTGAAAATTAAAATTATGCATAGCACATATTAATATGGCTACCCTAAAAAAAAAAACATATGCAGAATCCAAAAAATGATAAAGCAATGGTTTGTAATATGGTTATTACCTTTTCAAAAGGTGAACATTCAACAGAATATAATAGGAAAAAGGTGAAGCCTAATTATAAAGTCACATCTGTAGAAACAATTTTATGAAAAACAGCAAACTAATCATCATCAGCTGATAATGAATTTTCATGATATATGATAAAAATATATCTCCCAAGAGTAACTAAAACAAAGATGATATTATAATCAGTTGTGGTAATTACACCACTGTGACAACACAAATGCTGCCCTTTGTACTTTAGTTATGTTTGTGAAATTAGTTTGACATAAACATATGATAATATAAAAGAAAGTTACAAATTTATGAACCAATTACTGTGTGGAAATAAGAAGATAATCTCCATTATTTAAAGACATCTTATTATTTGAAAGAAAAACAGTGGAAAACAGTCTCAAGAGTAGTAAAGCGGGAAATAAACCTTGGCTAAAGGCACAGCAAAGTGGATGGGCTGGAAGCGCTTTATGAATGGCACATCAAATCAGGCTCAATTTATCACAGATTGCTAAACAAAGTCACCTCCAATAACATATATGGTCATTACATTTCATGAAACATGAGAGTACATCCAGACATTTACAAACAATAAGTGTTTGTATTAACATGCTGCATACATGACACCACAAACTTCAGGAATAATGTCTAGATCTACCAATGTAGATGTTATTGATGTGCATTCTATACAGGTTTTGTTTTCTATTGCTGGATACAAATTCCTCCTGATGTATGAAAGATAACTACATAAGCTTCTGCTTATATTGCCTAATTTTGGCTTTCTATTCACTCTTGCGATTTTATCTGATGAGTGCAAGACGAAAAACTTCAGGATGTATGTTTTTGTTGCTATTTTTTATCAATAATAAATAATAATAGCAGTGATTTCATGTATAGCACAAATGTAAAGTATGTGTAGCGAGGTAATATATATATAAGCAATAAGATGACAAGTAAGCAGAACATCTACCAATACCAATTAAGATAATTTATTTCACTAGAGCTACTGTCAATCATTCATGAAACACCTTTTGCATTTAGAAGAAATAGACAGTTTAAGATAGCAATCTAATTTCATGTGTAATACTCCATAGTCAAATCTTAGTTCATGACATAATTCATTGAAATGTTTCATAATATAACACAGCACCCAGCATTATCACATCAAATGGAATGCAACTATGCACTATTAGCCAGGATCATAATCTGCTCACTATTGTCACAGGAAAACAGACATAAGGAATACTAGTAATCTACGGTATAGGTCTCTTGTCTCTATTCACACATATGAACAACTACAGTATACAGGTACTTCTGATATGATGTAGACTAATGTTGATGGAGTACATAAATACTAGGAGTTAAATCTTTGAATGAGGTCTTCATATTTCACCTGCATCCATGCTCTCTGCCTCAACATCGTCATCCAGCATGGTTTACACATGTAAGTACACATACCACAATGGATGGACAAATTACCCTCTAGATGTCTGAGGCTAACTCTGCCTAAGACCTCCATTCCCTCTTACTCTTGGTGCCTCTGACCCACCCCTGTGACTCCATCCGAGATGCTAGACACGGTACTGACTGATAAGACCATTCACTTTGCCTTTGATCTCCATTTCTCTGCATCCTCCTTACGTGCGTCTGGTAGCATCTGATTCCTGACCCCACCCAGGACGCTGGATGTTGCTTCCGTTGCTAAGATGAGAGGGCGTATAACGGAAGGTGGTATCTGACGTAGGATACCTCCCACTGCTCCGGACACACCCTTATGTTCATGTTCTTCCCTAGCTGTCAGCATGATAGCTGTAGCTGTATCACCCAAACCCTGTAATGATACAACACGCAATATCTCAATACTGATCCTTTTATATAGCTGTATCAAACCCTGTAATGAAACAACACTTAATATCTCAATACTGATCGTTTTATTCCAATATTACATTAAATCCTCATTCAGTATCTGGAAAAAAAGCATTAGGCCCAAATTTCCTCCTACTTTCTACATGTTTTGGATTCCCTTTTCTTTTTCTTCCTTTTCTCTATCCTTCATCTTTACACCTTAAAAAAAAAAGGGTCATTTTTATGTCTTCTTTTTCACTTCAATATTCTTCTTTGTGTTTGTACTCTTCCAATTTTCTCTAGTTCAACAAATATTTCAATTTTATATTTATTTCTCTCCAGGACAATTTAAACTTTGATAGTCTCTGCAAATTCTATAAGTTGGACATTAATGAGGTGTGAGTAAGTGGCTTGTGTGTAAGGCCAATATTCCTACCTCTCTGACTACATTGATAGCATTAGCCATTCCCTCTCTGAAGTCTGCAGGTTGTCTAGCTAGTCTCTGCTGACCGAATGGACCGTATGTGATAGCTCGACTAGACACACTGGGGCCTGGGGACACTACATCATATGCTGTCTCTGCAGCAACCTGCCAAACAAAACAAATGACAAACATGACATCTTGACTACAGTCTAAGTAACAATAACAGTATGATAATATTCTAAAACATCTACCGTAAGTCTCTAATCACTTAACAGAAACATAATACTATCATATAATGTTAAATTATTATATTATAAAAAGTAAATGGCTTACATGAATATGCAATATAAATCCATTTAAAACACAATCTTGATTATCACTCATGAAAAATGAATATCTCATAACATACAACATACAAATTTTAACCAAGAGTTTGGGGAACGTTTATACAAAAATGTATGTGGAAAATATGTCATCTATTCATATAAAACACACTGTGCAGAATGTATGCAATGATTGTTACATAAAGAAAACTGTGGTTTGAATTCATTATTACAGGTACTAGAAATAGACTATTAATCCTAGAGATATGGCAAGTAAAGATGCATAGCATACCTGTAGAAGCTTGACAAATCTGTTGGTAAGTTCAACAACAGCCATTGCAGTGGATGTACCAAATGAGTTGGCGCCTCTCTGGATACCTCTGACAAGGCGCCCATCTCTCTTGTACTGCTCAACTGGTAACCTCACCAGATCAAACATGCCTTGGACTGGAAAAAAGAGAAAAATATAAAGCCACAAATGTAGATCTGAATTTCGATGACTGATCTCTTCATTAGCATATTCCAATAAACAACTCTTTAACTCTGATGTAGAATACCTTTGACATGCACTTATTCAACGATTTCTCACTTTGATTCTTGCATCTCATGGAACCTTTTCATCCATCCATTCATAGAGAAATGTACAATACATGAAGAACTACCTATGACACACACTACAAGCAATTGATTGTACCTCTACTGATATCAGTTTTATATATTCAAAGCCAGGTTATATTGCTCATATTTTTGGAAGATAAATTGTGAAATTATATTATGAATTGTTAACATGAAAAATTGACAAGACAGCCATTTTTACTAACACTATGTGGATTTTTAGCAGGAATAGAGGCACATGCCTCCCCCCCCCCCCAATTTTTTTTTTTCCAAGCTTGGTTGAACTTTTTTAGACCCCTTTTTTTACCTCGATCGATTACATGTATGTGCCCCCCCCAAACATCAAACTCTGGCTACGTGCCTGCCTACACCTCCCAATACTCTGGATAGCTGTGATAGATATACTTACAGAGTTGAACAAAGGAATGCATTGGTCCTACACCTCCCAATACTCTGGGTAGCTGTGATTTCTTGATGTCTTGCATCCATTCATTCATAGCATACAGAATCAGTCTGTCTATACCAAGCAACCTAGAAAGAAGACAAAGTCATACATAAGCATTTTCCATATCAGATGAATACGAGTAAAAAGATTTGTTGAGTCTGAACTACTAGTTGTTCCTACGACATACACTAATACTTTTTTTAAGCCTCGATTCCTGTATAACAGTAACTATTTAAACCCACTTTTTAATTATTATTGTTCACAATTCAATTCAATTTCTTTCAATTTCAGGGCAGGAGGAAAATATTCATCCATATTGGCTGCTCTGAACATAAGGTTGTAAAGATAAACTTTGGTGTTGGATATCTTTCCCCTTTATGCTAACACTCTGCTTTCAAAACTCCTAGATATGGGATGACTTTCCACCGATACACTGCCACTGTATCTTTAAACTATGTACACTCGCATATCCTGAACATGTGTATTGTAAAGCAAGTATAATCTTACCCATGTCTATGATGTAGTCTCTTCAATGTCAGTTCAGAATGGTTGAGTTGACCTAAACCCACCAGAAGACCCAGGAATGTACCCTAAACATTCAAACAAATCAACCATAAACATCAACATATTGATCTAAGAAGAATATACAAAAAAAATATCCTTTGAAATCAATATAATCATTATCAATACATTGAAATAAATACTAATTCAGAAGATTTCAATGTACCTTAATTAATTGCCCATCTCTTGTACAGTACATATCATTGGTCGGGAGGTCAACCATATGCACCTAATGAGAGTACTTCTAGTAGTACAATCATCTACAAAACCCTCGCACAGTATAAGAGCATAACAGGATGTGTTCCAAAAAAAGTTTGACAATTATAATTACTATAAAAAATAAAACAGATGTTTTTTCCTAATGTTCCAAGAATATATTTGTTTAAGTAACTGCAATAACTCACTTTATTTTAGCGAATTTGATATAAAACCCTAATTTCTTGTGAAGATAATGTTCATTGGTTTTCCTTGGATTTTTACAGGTCAGGGGCTACTAGAATCTTGTACATGTAATTATATACAGTGATAAAGTGGATGGACATGTGCTGGTCAGCTGAGAGACTTACTTGATCCATGTCAACACGCTTCCCTTCATAATCCAGCTTGATGAGAACATCAGGAGAGAATACAAAGGACCTATACAAAGGCATAGTGGCAAATGGAAACACTGAGTTCTTGAATCATCATATGTCATGTATTGTATCATTACAAACATATCATTGACTAGGACCAACATTGGTTATTCTATATTGATGACCAATGTTTTATTGGAAAGGAAAAAAAAAAAAAGGTTCACAGCTGAACTTTTTAAATTGTATTTAAAATATTTTTTCTATGCAGCTGTCATAATCTTCAGTACATCATTTCATTAAATATCATAAGCAAGTGTTTAAATGCCTCGTCCAATTCAGATCTTCTACATTTACCCAGTCATCCAGAATAAAATATCATGATTGTAAATTTATCAAGAGATGTGACTTACTTGAAGAAGATAGGTTGTGCAGGTGAGTTAGATGTTTTGATCTTGTCATTGACTGCTTGGTTATTGATGGGATGATCTGATGGGACGGGTTGATTAGGAATGATTTGGGGTGGGGCGTCTGTTATCCTCACTTTGCATGTCTTCTTGTCTGATGGAGATCTACTAGGCTTGTGATCTAAACAGAAAGACATAACGATACATATTCTTAGAAACACAATACAGTACCACAATATAGCACATCAAATATGTGTAGCTCTTGAAGCATGGAGAAAATGAATTATCACTTTATATGCTTTACTCTTCCTGTAATAGAATAATGGTTACATATATGTCATCATATAAGCTGAATAAATGGTCCCCATATGGAAGGGATTTCTCTTAGAAAGTAATCTAGAATATTTTACCATGTAGCAAAGAGTAAATTAGGTAGTTTTTAACTCGTGCTACTCAGTGTCATATTTTTCTATTGATGTTACATGTATCTTGAAATTTTCAAGGTGTACACATGATTAATCAACTACAAATTCTGAATTCAAACAGAAAGAAAAAGAAAACAATGTACCTTCTCTTTTCTTATAAAACGATAGATATAGATACCAGAATGAGATCATACCTGGACTTGGAACTTGACTCGTTTCAGATGATACCTCGGTGAAGAAATCTCGCAAGAAAAACAAGGCATCCTGTAAGGAGGATATCAATACATCAATCTGGTCAGTTAGAGTATTTCATTAGAAGACAGATTCAATGAGTGTCATGATTTCAATATCACTCTTTATAAGACTTACAAAGTGAACTGGGAATGAAATTCAATTAATCATTAGAATTGTAAAATGAATCCTATCATATGACTCTATACAAACTGACCTGATCAATATTGAATCTGAGAGGCTGAAGAGAGATTCTAAGACAGCATTCTTCTGTGTCTACATCAGGATCTGGTCGGATGTGAAGAGCTTTCACTAGCACCTATCACAATGAAAACAACACCAAAGACAATTTGTTTAATGCATATCAAACAAGCAAATCCTGAATCAAGATTCATTTTTCTTTAACCATTTCTAAAGAGGAAGGATCACCGACGATATTACTTTTATACATTACAAGATGGGTAAGATGTCTCAAAGGTTGTGAAACCAACTTACTGTATGAACTTCAACGGTCATATGATAAGTCAACCTCAACATCTGTACTGACTGACAAACTAATATTTTTAAAAGGAATCAACTACACACATAATCAATAAAGATGCATTGACACAAGGGGAAAAAATAAACAAGTAGATTTTAAGTATAAAACATGAACCAAGACCTACCATGTTTGCATGTGTTCTCTTTGGTCTGGCTTCAGAGGAATAGAGATACAAGAACTTGTTGATCTGTGACTGAGCAAGACGATCTCGAACTTCAATGTCATTGATCAAGAGAATCTGTCTTGAAGATTGCTTTGCATCGGACGGATACGATTCATGACGGAAGCGCACCTAACAAGAGAGATAAGAAATTTAAAAAATAGCAGGTTATCAAAGCTTTATAACAGGTGCAATGAAAAGGTTTTACAAAGGAAGAAAAAGAATAGATCAAACGATAACTGCTTTTCAAAATATACAATGTTGTTTATTTAGCTCATACTTCTTTTGTTAAAGTCTGGAAATAGTTTCCCTTTTTTTTTTGGGGGGGGGGGGGGGAGTCAAAGGACTGCAATGATTTGTGAAATAATATTCATACCATATTTCAGATAACTGTCAGTTGCACATAGTGCCTCATGATCTTTTGATTTTTTGGTGTAATGATTCAAATGATATCAAAGGAATAATGTGATACAAAATTGACATATAAACCATCAATGAGTTATAAATGTTGTTCATACTTTGTTCATTTGTAGTTCCATAAGTACAGAATGATCTCTTTCTGGTCCTCCTCTCTCCTGCCATCTCATGTTAGCTACATTGTGTGTTGGCTTGTCTCCCTGTCTCCTGAGAGGGGAACTGCTACCACTCCCTCCTTGTTGCCTAATAAAGTATGATAAATAAACAATAGCACAATCAATCATATTATTTTGAAATATTCATGCATGATGTAATACAGATGTCTCATGTTAAGGATGATTAAATCCCATATTTGTTCAAAACTGATTTATATAGCAGTGAGCCTTCAATGTCGATAAAAGCCCCCTCATTTGTTTTCATCGACCTCACTGTGGTTCATTTTTTACTAGGTTCTCAAGTTGATGTACAGTTTATCCCTTTACTGATGTACTGCTATGCTTTGGATGTACTTTCTCCTTTAAATTACATTAGCTCATTGACAAGCAATTCCTGAATGATATCGATACATCTAACTTACATCCACTGATGATTCAGCATTTTTATTTAGCTAAAATAATTACATCTCACCCACCTTTTCTCTCCACTATGTGCTGGGCTGCTACCTCTAAGATCTACAAGAGTAAAAAGACAATCAAAATTGCAATAAATCTTCTATATAATGAGGAAAATACAATATTATTCAAAGTAAGCAAAAATGTTTTCTCTATCTAAAAAATGGGAATAGGTTCTAGGTGACAACATTAACTTGGGAAACTTGAATATAAAGTATGATTTTTAGCGGCTATATTGACAGCACTTTGAGTATATAGTCTACATATTCTACATTACCATCTATTTTATGAGTACTACAAAAACTACACTGGTCATGTGCTTGGATTCTGCTTATATGTATCTACATTTTTCTTTCAAAATTGGATGGCATTACAATGTCCTCTAATAGCAGGTATTAGGAGTTGTGATGTGGAGTCTACCGATACACAAAAACCTGAAATGAAATATCAAATAAATATTGGTAAGTTATTCCAACAACAGGGCATAACAATGAATTGGGTATATTAATGAGTGCTCTGAAAGACATTCACACTTCATGTTCTGGACAGACTCCATATAGCCCATGCTTACCTGGTTTGTAGATATTCTTGGTTGACCCTGATGACCTAAGGTCATGACCTCCATAGATATGCCATATGACTGTCATCTCTTGTAGTGTATATCTCATGGTAGGAGTAGGGAAGTCTAGAGGAGCGTTGAGTTGATCACCTCTACTCCTAGGTGGAGTAAAGTGATCTTGGTCGATCTTGATTGGTCCATCATCTAATACCTTCACCTCAGGTTCACCATTGTGTCTCTGTGGATCACAGAAATACATCATGGTAAATATTCGCTTACTATCAAGATTTGTGTTTCAATCATACTTTGAATAAATCAATTTTTTATTAATAGCAATTCAAAATATTAAGAATGATTTCTACAAAATACCTATTTGAGATTGGCAATAAAAAGAAACCTGACAAATGCATACACTGGAACAATAAAACCAAAGGTATTTCTTGAAAAAATTGTTAAAAGTTGATTTTAATACAACTTTTGTATGAGGCATAATCACTTTACACATCTCCTTACATGAGAGACTTAGAGACTTTTTGCAAATCTGTGAGTCTCAAGTACTATTAAGTCATCATTAGTCTACCATGTTTGATTGGAGCCTCAGCATAATGTAATGCCCCCTTGCATGTATATCAAAGCCCTATATAGGTCCTCCTTAGATTACAATCTCTTTGTATCTGCTGCTAGCCAGAGAAAAATCAGTACATCAACTTTTATTAATATATCAAGGTTAAAATGGAATCTGAACAATGTACATACCAAGACACCCATGCCAGGGTCATCAAGAACACAGAACTCTTCATCATTATAGAAGCCGTCTGGTTCGGTCCAGCTACCACCACTCCCTGAGGACACACCCAATGAGACAGGACTGCTTCCTGGAGGGGTGATGTCAATCAACACCTCAACATCATCCTCATCTTCTTCTTCCTTCATCTCATCAACCAAGCCATCATCTTCATCTGGGAAGAGAAACATCTCCGCTCCATCGTCTTGCTTCAAGGTGCAGGGAATGTGGACTACATGGTCTGGTGTCAAGAAGTAGAAAAGAGCAAAATGTTTTTAAAGTTTTGTGAGATATCAACGTCATACAAAAATTATAAATATAGCTAAATCTTCAGGATCTAAAAAGGTTGTTCAAACTAAGTTAGAGGTTTTTGATGACCATAATGCAATCATATAGCAGTGGTGTAGTTATCAATGTAAGACTGGTGGGCATTTATACAAATAATTCATAAAGACTTCTATAACAAAAAAAATCCAGTTGTTGGCTCTGTGCAATTCTTATTGTTATAACAATGTGTATACAGACATCTAACGAACATGAGAAATATCCAATACTTTAGGAAAACCCCCATGATCTGTGGGATCAGCTGATGAATAAAACTAGATGGAACTTCGACTGCACGCAGTCGAAAATGATGCCTCCGTCATAGAGCAATTTTACAAACTAAAACAGAAGAAATTTTTCAAATTCAAGTTCAATTGTAATCCATTAACAGGTTCTCAGAATATCGTGATTACAAGCAATTTCTCATATACATATATGACCCTTTGATCTTTGACCTCATGACCCTAAAATCTACTCAGTTCATTGGCTCTGCAAGATGTCTCGAGTTAAATAGTAATCCATGTGTCAGTTCTAATGAGAATGCGTTCACAAGCTACTTTTGCATACATAATGAGCCCATGACCTTTGACCTTTGACCTTATGAACCAAGAATCTACTCAGTTCATTGGCTCTGCAGGATACATAAATGATCTAAGTTTGGCAAGAATCCATGAATCTGTTCTAATGATAATACGATCACAAGCTATTTTTGCATACATAATGTGCGCTGTGACCTTTGACCTTTGACCTCGTGATGCCAAAATTTAATCAGTTCATCGGCTCTGCAAGTAACATACATGACCTAAGTTTGGCAGGAATCCATCAATCAGTTCTTGAGATAACGCGATCACGAGCTGTTTTTGCATACATAATGAGCCCTGTGACCTTTGACCTTTGACCCCGTGACCCCAAAATCTAATCAGTTCATCGGATCTGCAAGATACATACATGACCAAAGTTTGGCAGGAATCCATCAATCGGTTCTTCAGATAACGCGATCATGAGAACGAGACGTACGTACGTACAGACGTACAGACGTACGTACGGACGGACGGACAACCCGAAAACATAATGCCTCCGGCTACTTCGTAACGGAGGCATAATGATAATATGAGATCCATGACATACATGCATACATCTCTGTACTCACAGAGACACAATGACTGATTTACCTCTGTTTTGGGGTGAGTTCTTAGGTGATGGTGAATCACCGTTGAGCTCTCTCATAGCTTCATCCATCAGTTGTTTCATCTGATCAGAATGCGAGTGAGAGACAGGACTATCTCCGTTGGTTTGTTTAGGTGATGGCTCCTCCTACAAAAATCAACAATTACATATATAGTCATTATCAGATTCACCATTCAACAGCGTATCATGTCACATGATCACCGCCAAACAAATTTAATCAATAGTAACTAACTACTCAGTATACGCAAGATAAAATCCCAAATAAAAAAGCTTACAAAGAGTTTAGGCACAAAAGTTGAAAGACGTTAGGAAATGATGATCTATCCATTACCGTAGAACCCTTAGCTGCAGGAAACAACAAAGATTTAAACGATACCTCAACTTCCAACCAATAAAGAACAAACTTAAAAACATTCTAAATCTGCTACATCCGATTCAAGCACTGATTTTGTAAAAGATGGATTGCAGCTACATTACATGCAAAGTCTTGTATACACATGATGCAGACAACCACCTCAATAATAACAAAGAGGTATGTGTAAAGGGCCTTTATTGCATGCATCTATTATTTTATTATCCTCATTTGCCATTTATTTACATATATACATGTAAAATGTTTTTCATTTCTCTGTAGTTGGTTTTGGTTAACCTAGTAATGTCTGAATGAGGCATAATCAAGGTGGTTAACCTAGTAATGTCTGAATGAGGCATAATCAAGGTTCACCCATTATGATGAATAAGAAGACTAATATTAGATGCTGCAAATGAGTATCGGCTTGCATGGTGATGTAGATATACAGTAGGCTTGCGGTTGCACCATGTGAGAGAAAGGGGGAGGATTTGGGAGTGCTGAAAAGGACTCTCGGTAATCTTTCTTTCCTGAGTGTGTGTAGTCCTGAAAAGGTCTGTTGGTAGATTAGGAAACATTGATCTCACCTCAGAAGGGACCTCTACTGGTTGAGTCGTACTGCTTCCCTTGACCCCTTGATGATCAGGGTTACATCCTTCATCACCATCAGATGATAGGTAGAGAAGGAGTCGAGCGAGGGCGCTACAGGAATCAGCACAGGTTCGGACGTGTACCACATTGTTAGTCACCTTCAACTCGGTCTTGGGATTCTGAGCGTTAGAGATATAGAACACTGATAAATTAACACTTTGATCTTAACATGAGAGAAATCCTTCTGTATCACCATATCAATCTGAATTTAAATACATGACTGTGGGGTGTGTGCATTTTACAGCCAATATGCATAGAAACAGTTTCACAGGACTGATAGTTCTTTGAAACTGGCACCATCCATGATCAGATCAACTGACAATTGAACGATTAGCATGAAATAAAAACAAGGGAAACGCTCTCGGCGGTCTCGCCTGCATAACGCAATTCTGATAAACCAGAACGTCAATGACGTAGCGCTCATCTGCATCTCGCAACAACAAATATCGTAAATTTTATGTGGTACACTTTTGAACTGGTCAAAAAATAAATATTTGATGACCTGGAAGGGACATAATTTCATTTCATTTGCATAAAGTACCATAAATAATCAATGGAGCAAAATCTCACAATTCTGTGTAGAAGTTTAGTGTTCCAAATTTAGCTCTACCAGATAAGGCAAACCAAATCAAAATCAGTCAAGAAATGAGGGAAAAGAAGCAATTTTTGTTATTTTTGGAATAAATTTGCATAAATTACCATAATTAATTAATGGAGAACAATTTCAAAATTCTGTGTAGGAGTTTAGTGTACCAAAATTAGCTCTACAATATAAAGCAAACCAAATCAAAATCGGTTGAGAAATAAAGGAGAAGCCTTTTTTGTGATTTTCGAATAAATTCGCATAAATTAGCATAGACAATGAATTTCACGATTCTGTGTAGAAATTTTAAATCCCCCTCCTAGCCCTATCATATGAAACAATCAGAATCAAAATCGGTTGAAAAATAACGAAGAAGAAGCATTTTGAACATCTTGATGTTGATGCCACAACAAAGTTTAAGTTTGTTGACCTTAAATGACCTTTGACCTTAACTTTGTGATCTGAAATTCTACTCACATGATTGGGGATACTTGATTACCCTATAGTCAAAGTTTCATTGACTAAGAACTTATACTTTAAAAATTATATCAAAAATTCAAAAACTTAACCTTAGGTTAAGTTTTTGATGTTGACGCCGCCGCCGCCGCCGCCGCCGCCGTCACCGGAAAAGCGGCGCCTATGTCTCGCTTTTTGCTACGCAGGCGAGACAAAAATGACGGGATTTACCTGGAACTTCCAAATTACAAATGAAGTTGCTTTAAAAAAAAATTATAATGAAAAGGAGCAAGAAATTAAATGATGATAATGGTGTTCCTCACCTTTTCTTCATGATTACTCAGTCTGAGAGAGAGCTCCAACATACCAAGGTCTACAACACTCACATAATCTGAAGCAAAGAAGGAGATCAAACATTCAATAATTTATTTATTAATTTAAATACAACCCAATCATTATAACATCACATGGTGTTGTCATATTAAATATGAAATTATATGTTTGTGTAACTATAAGGATAGAAAAAACACTCACTATATGGGATAATGAGCTCTAAACAAAACTCTTTGTTGTATCATCTTTGAACATAAAATATTCCTAACAAGTCTAACTATATATCTCATCTAGATCTAACATCATATTCATTTCATATCACTCACCTCGTTTCAGATTGACTTTGGTATCATTGCACTTTTCAGATATATACAATGCAGCATCGTCTATGAGAAATCTGAGATAAAAATAGACATGCATTAAATCCAAAACTAAATTTATTGTATACACCTACAATGTATATCAGCACATATCTATATAAAAACTTGAAAATAACATAACTTCTGTTTTTCAATAAACATTTTTGTATACCATCAAGAAACCAAAATTAAGAACTGAAACTTAGTTCAGCATGTAACCTTTGCTTCTAAAAGAACTTGGTTTCTATAAATGTACAATGTAAAACAAATTGTAAATTTTGCCAATTTAAATGTAAATTAATGCAATGTTGAAACTCTGACTGCAGAACAGACCTCCTTTTCTAATGTTTAGAAATCTTAATGTTTTTTATACTAAATAGCAATTTTCATCCAGCTAGACGCAAGAGACTTACCTCAGTAGTGACTCCTTGGCTTCATATACCAAGTTACTGGATATACTCAATGACTCTAGTAAGGTGAAAGACTTCAATGGTAAGTACAAAGGCCTGTAACAAGAGTAAGACAGTCAACATTATAGTAAAGGGTTTCTTGCTCACTTTATAGAGTAAAATGGATTATGGAATCAAATTCGATCATGATCAAGCTTTGAATGGAATATATAGATACATGTAGATGGTGGATTCTTGCTATTCTTAAAACATTTAAAAGTGTCTATAATGCTTGAATCAAGAAACAATGCAACTAGGTACTCTTAAGATTTGTAAACATAATAAACAATAACTTGTCATTTTGTTCAGATGTGATACACTAAGAATATGCAATATACTATGTTGCACAAATATCAATAATTATGTTAACCATTGATTTACAATTGTTCTTCTTTTGGCTGGCTCTCCAACATCTAGCTCTGTTAATCATTCAGAGTATATGTAATGAAGGTGAGTGGCAAGCACTAACTCTCTTTCACACAAAGCTTTGTTACATACAAAGCTTCATTACGTACCTGTAGTCTAGTCCACAGCCCCAGAAGTGAGCATGAAGTTGAGTGACTGCAGCAGGCATATCATAACCCATGATCTGTTCATCTATTACATCAAAGAAGTCTCCTAACTGAGTACTCCAATGGTACTGAGGTTGACACATGTAGTGACGTAGTGTAGCCCCTCGCACTGCTATTGCACAATCGGATGTCTGTACAAGGGGGGGGGGGGGGGGGGGGGAGGGGGAATGGAGGAAATTAATTTGATTAAAACCTTATCAGGTCAAGACTTGGACACCATAAACTTGAGACTGAGACTGGTCTAATGTGCCTAATCATGATTCACATAGACACTTCAGGAGAGCCATAACATACAATGTAGGCTGTAAAGTAAGAAACCCATATATGATCGTTGCTGTCTATTCTTACATGGATGCAAGAGTAATTCATCATCCCTGATATATGATATGGTATTCTGTGTTCATGCTATATAGTTGAACTTACCTTTACTTTACCTATGGGGCCAAAATACAAAATGACAGCAGCAGTAGGTTGTTACCTTCTACGATTCCTCGTTGGTCATAGTATACTGTATTTTGAGTGGACACTCACCTTGACATTGCCTGCAGGATCAAAGGAATTCTTCATGGCTAGTGACACCATATGCTGGCTGTTCCCTCCTTTGCCTACACTCCCTCCTGTCTTAGATGATGCTCCATCATCTGAGAGATAGAGACAGCATTTCATGTGGTCTGGAGCTGACAGTCTAGTGCTGTCAAGAGACTCTCGGAAGGGGTGGGTTACACAACCTGCAAAGCCATCACAAAAAAATATATGGGTCAAGATCAGTACACTTCTTCTGCATCTCCTTATATATATTAAACAACATAGTATAATTAACAGCTCTCTACCAAATTATAACACGTGATAATGTTAACAATCCATTTAAATAAATAAAATCATTTATCATCATGAGTTTTTATGATCTACTACCTTATCTTGGGGGTTGCGAAAATACAGGATTTCTTAAAACAAACAGAAAACAGACAATATGAATTTATACCAGATTTTCGTTATTCTCGTAAGCAAAGAGGGAAAATGTAGAGAGCCACTTGATTTACTATTATCACCTGACTGGAATTTAAATTTTCAGAGAATCTTTAGAATATTTTCTCCTTTTCTAATTATATTATTGCTAGTACTATCATATAATGAATCGTATAAGATCAGGGATAAGGATCGCTGAACGATTTCATCAGGATGATTTGGATAATTTAGAACTGAGTTCTATGACACATCCAAATTGAAGGGGATAAGGATTGATTGAGTACTCACCATCATGATACAGAGCTACCCTGTTAGCTTGAAGACTGAGATAACTCTCATTATCATTACCCTTGTAAGCTGCCACTGCAAACAGACACCCATCCTCCACCTCTAGAAGACATTCACCATGTTCAGACTCACTCACAGTACCATCAGGGTTCTACAATCAGTCAAAAATAGTTCTTCAGGAGTTATACCCTCCAACAAGTGCTATACTTCATAATACTAGTATACTACTCTACTCATCAAATGTTGAGGTCTTCTTGCCAATGAATTACACACTTGACAATGATATCAAGACATTATGTATTGACAAATATTCAAAAGAAAGTTAATCCTACAACATTGCTCTGGTTTTCTCACATAATGCTCCCTTGAAGTGCTGTTAATTCCAGTTTATTCATTTTGTTTAAAAGAGTAAAATAAAACTCTTGCTTTTTATATAGCATAAAGAAGTTTTAAATTAATTTACTTGAAACCTTTTTATGAAAAGAGCATGATACAAACTTCAAATACCCCCTTTTAAAAAGCCTTGATAGGCATATGGTCAGTTTACTATGATTGATATTGAGAGTAAAGGACATGTAATGTTGACCACTGGTCATATCTTCTATCTGACCATCGGTCTTATCTTCTATCTGACCACTAACCTTGATGGGCATTCCCATGGTCATTTTACCATGATTGATATTGAGAGTAAAGGACATGTAATGTTGACCACCAGTCCTTTCTGCTATCTGACCACCATGTTTTGACCGATGATGCTTGGCATTCATTGATGATGAGGTGTGATCATAGACGGAATAGAACTGAAGACTGTCCGGCTCCTCATCATCATCTGACTCGGAATCTGTATATCAACAATGAACAATGCATTATACTAGCTAGGGCTGCTTTTATTTCTTAAATTCAATTCAGCAATTCATCATGAAGAGTCAGAAATATTGCTGATGATACAAGTTATGACTTCAAATCAACAAAGTGAAATTAAGAGAAATTAGAAAATGTGGTTATCGATTGACAAATTTACTTCAAGCACAATTTGATACAAGAAGTAAATGCGATCTGGCCCTCATCTCTTTTGTCTTTTTCATTTTTTTAAAAACCTGAGACTGTGAATACCAGACAATCCCAGGAGATTTGAGTTAACTCACCGAACTGCAGACCAGACTTGCACATGCCAAACCTCTCTGCTACACTACTCCCAGCCAGCTGGGTAGCTAGATCCAGTCCACCTGATCCCTGCTGATAGTTAGGGTATCTACTCTCCATTGGGTCTCGTGGTGTGGGGGCTGCCGGTTGCCATAGCAGCATGTCATTGGCAAACCTATGGACCAATATATTAGATATGTAACTGAATATCTTTCATGATAACAATCTTGTAATTTTTATTCTCCTACTCATCATTATGTTCTAGAGGAGTTACAGTAAAATAGTTAAATGTAAATTTGTGCATAAAGGCTGGAGAAATTTCCATCATTATCAATATCAGTGAAATTAGAAAGCTCTGTTTAAAAAAAAAATCTAATGAAAAAAGTAGTTATATACTATATTGGAATATACTCTTATAAAGATAGAGGAAAGGGAAGAGCTCAAAGCAAAAAGAAAAAACAAAAAGAGGAAGAGGAAAACCACAATGAGATAAAAAGAGGAAAATAATAACCACAAAACAAGAGAGGAAAATGATAAACACAAAGGTGATCAATTAGATACCTGTTGTAGAGTATCTCTACAAATTCTTTACTCTCTAAGAGCATGTTAATCCTAGGGATGTTGAGTTCAAAGACTAGTCTTGAGTTGGGTATCGTCTTCTTCATGAAGTCTCTCATCTCTTCTTGGTCTCCTGGCATCACCATCTAAAAGATAACAACAAATAGAATCAATGTGTTATCTGTGTGACCTACTGGTATCCTCCAGAAATGTATCTTAATATACCGCCTCATCCTTCTCTTAAAATGGAATCATATTGGTAATACACTTTAAAAATGTAATCATATTTGTTAAGAGAATTAATTCCTTGATATATTCTAGGAAGAAAATTCATGTTATTTTCAAGCTATTCTTAGATTGCTTACTTAAGTACAGGTTACAATATGTGAAATGGTCATCACAATGACACATTATATCTTTCCAAAATGTATCCAGCTCACTACTGGCCTGTCTACTGATATTCTTAAACAGATTCATTTTGGATACCGTTTCATATCCTCTCTTAGTATTAGTTTTCTTTTGCACATTTAACACATTAACATATCTTCAGTTCAAAGGCAAACTTGAATATGTAAATTGCTATTTCAGAAGCTGAACTATAAACCTTGTTGCTATTTATGTGCAAATCAATGATAAGAGAAAGACCTTCAACTTGACATTGTTACCACACTGACCTGTTCACTCTCATACATGACTTTCTTTGAGCTGAAAGGTGATGGTTCTGTCTCCTGCTGCTGGAAGTAGCTCTTATCCCAAGACATATTAAGATCAGGTCCAGGAGGTGGACTATCTTCTTGGTCCTCTTCCAACACTGAGGGTTGCATGACAGGGCTAACTACCACCAGTAATCTGAACAAAATAAAGGTAGGTATCAGTGAGGGTAGGTAAATCTTTTATATTCATCTACACATGCAATATAATAAAAGCCTTATCTGAGTTAACATAATACATCTGACATCAAATATTAGCTACACAATTGAATTAACTATAGTCTAAAACACAAATCAAAACTTCCATATGGTGAGCACAACTGCAATGGGATGGAAAAATTTCAATATCTTGAATTTACAATAGCACGGACTAATAAAATTACAAGAGAAATGATACTAACAAAGTGGAAATGCATGATCAATATGTGTCAAATCATATGAAATGGACTGATAATTAAGTGATGTTATTTTCAAAATAAAAGTATATGTAAATGGATCATCTGATGATCATATGAACAATCTTCACAATAGACAAATATCCCCCTTCACATAGATCATCACTAAGGAGTTTCTCACAACAATTTGTATTGTATCCTATTTCATAGCTTTCAGCCATAGGCCCTTTATCATTTTTACTCATTTACCTTGGCCAGTTGAATGTTCTGTCTGAGTTGCATGAATTGTCTGGCCGACCCTCACTCACTTTCACGAAGGGCATTGGTGCTGCATCTGGCTTTAGCTTCACAGAGGCTGCAAAGACGATATTTGAAAACAATGTTAGACAGGAACAAGAAGAAACAGGTCCGAAAAAAAACAACCTTGGTCAATATTCTGTAGATGAAGCAGTCAATTAATTATATGAAATATTACATTTAATATGAAACTTACATTTGATTTCTCTAGCTTTGACAAGAAACTTCTGTTGTGTCTTGTTATCTCTGATAGCACAAGTGAATTCTCCATCAGTGATCTGTACAAGGAGTATCTCATCTCGTAATGATCTCCTCCACCATGCCACTTCACTTAACCCTCTCAGATCAGGAATGGGAAACCTACAAACAAATCATCAAATAGAGGCATCCAAATTACACTCCTATAATGCCCTATTCAAACATAACATACTAAACCAGCCCCCCTCCAGCCCCTTCCTACTTCTGTCCAAAAGGTGCAGAAACATAAAATAACAGGAGCAGCGTGCTTCATATTTCTATATCTTATAATAAAGTGAGAAAGTGCAGAGGCCTTTACTGAGTGCAGCTCCTCTTTCGACATCTTCTTGTCATTTATTTAACACTTAGAATTCTTACATGGCAGTCTCAATGAGTCTATAATTTGTAAATGCGACTTAAATACCTTTTCAACATACATGCAGTTAAAAAGATTCCTAACAATAGTGTATTCAAAGATTTAAAGTGCATCATATCAAGAAATGACTAATGTGCAAAAACAACTCTTACAAAGAGATAATCATATCGATGACATTGAGGATGATGATGATTCAAGGAATTTATAAGATGACATATTTCTGTTTATAAAACATTCATAGGGGTATCTTTTAATTTCTGTAGAGGTGTTGTGGTCTAGTGGATAAGTAACCCGGCTGCAGATCACAAAGTACAGGGTTCAAGTCCTTTCGCGGCACTAATGTCCAAGACGTTAATCTACATTTGCCACTCTCCACCAAGGTGTAAATTGGTACCTGATATGCTTGAGCGCTAGTTACTTTGGCAGCTTAGCTACAACCAGGGTAATATGTGTAAAGCGCCATGAACGTAAAGAACCTGGCAGATACCGGCGCTATGTAAATATCCATTTTATCATTATTATTATTATTATTATTTATACAGTGATTGGGATGGTTAGTTCCTTTTTATCTTTTGTCATAGGACAAATCTTACCTTAGTGCTATGACTGTAGACGCGCAGGTCACACTGATATTAGTCTGTAAGTCAGACCCACTTGGTGTATCATCTAGTGCTTGTCGGAAGAAAGCCTGTTTATTCTGAAAAATAAAATAGAACATTTATTTGGCATATTTCAAAGACTAACATATGAATCTTCAGTAATTGATAGTAATACATTCAAACATTTCCGGTGACAAGGGGGAAAATTTTGTAGAGATATAAAGGTATACAAATTTAATTTGAAAGGTGGAAGATTATAAAAGCCTTTTAGAACTATATGAATGTAGCCCTTTTATTACAGCAAGATTTATGAGAAGACTTGGAGCTTAAATTGTGCATGTCACATATATATAAATTCATTACTGAGAGGTGAAAGGTTACTAAGGCAGTCATAAATAACTCAAATTCAGCAGAATTATGAGAAAACGGAAGAAAGCTTTAATTCTGTATATTTTACATGCATAGTTTATTATTAAAAGGTAAAAGGTGTAAAAGAATGTGTTACTATTTATTACAGCAAGATTTATGAGACATGTTTTACGAGGACAATAAAAAAGAAAAAGCATAAGCTTGGTGTTGGTGAGATACCTACCAGACTTGTATTTGGTTGCATAGAAGGATACATGCGTTGACCAGAGGAATCATAAGCATAGGATGGCTGAGGATGTAGTAAGGTGTAAAGCCGATCTACTAGGGAGATATCCACTTCACAGTCCACCACACCCAACTCTATGCTCACATCTAGAGTAGGCTTCACTATATGTCTCCGCTTGCTGGTCTGATCAGTAAAAGTAATAGTATATAGAAGGAAGCAATCAAAATTATCATCAAAATCATCATTCTTTGATTGTCTCTAAAAGGGTGTATCACTTTAAGATTCTATCAAAAATTCTTTTATATCCCAAATTCTTTCAGCTGGACATTTGGTGCTTTAATCAAGTATGGGTGTCTCATTTACAAAGCATCTCAATTTCCATAATAATTGTGTTGCATAGAAATGATCTTGGATTTGAAATTGAAAAGATGTCACTGGAACATTGAAACTTTTTGCAATAACAAAACAATATGTCTTAGTTATCCATGTAGCCTCATCAGTATTAACACTTGTTCTTCCTTGGGGCCCTGTAAATATATATCATTACGTTATACAATAATATGATATGCACTTGAGAAAGATAAACTTACCTGATTTCTGATCTTCTGTGCATGTTTTAACTTGGTCCTGATGCTTGGTTTGGTTACATAGCTCCCTTCACTTCCACATTCTCCACTCAAAGATAAGATCTATAATCATACAAGTAAGAACTTAATCAATCAATCAAAATTTCACCTTATAAAATGATGTTTGTAATATCCTGTAGTTACTCTTCTTGAAATAATTCATAAATGTTTTTTCTTTACAAATGTTAATACATTTTTAAAGCTCAAGCAACATTTGTGCAGTCAATGTCATAAATCTATGAAATTCCTAAATTCAACCCCAGAGCAAACCCTCTATTGTTGACAAAATGGATCCTGGAGCAAACAATGTTATCTTAAATTTCATTCACCATATTTTAAACATCAGTAATTAATAATCAAAATGTTGGCAGTACTAAAGTGTATCTACAGAATAGGCTTCAGTAAAAGCAAAAGTGGTTATAGTAATTGAGTAAGAGAACACAACCATGGCTAGAAAGTTAGATTAGATGTCCTGCAATATGAATCACCTCTGTAATAGATAAGACAGGATTTCAACTGACCTGTATGTGTTCAGCTGGTTGAGGTGTTCTATTGGGTAGACTATTGGTTGGACTTTGCCTGCTGAACAGACACTCTTGCAGGTCAACGCTCCCAACAGACATCTCTACTAGGGTCACATTCCAATGGCTATTGCTCTTACATTCACACTCCAGTGTAAATGGAGCTGCTATTAGTCTGCAATAACAATGATATAAATATCATGTTCACTTAGTTTAATATTAAATTCAAGAAATATGAAATTCTTCAAATGGAAATCACAGAACCGGTCATTCCAGCAATCATATAGACTGAAAGAGCCATAAAAGTGAAAAGAAAATGAAAAATGAAACCTTGAAACCTTGATCCAGTAAATCATATATTCAAAATATGCAAGTTTCAAGATATATTTTTATGATAAAAGGACCAAATTAGACACATCCAATTTTTTAAGGTGAAATATTTCACTATCAAATTATGTATGGATTTTGTTGTTGTTGTTGTTGTTTGTTAACATAATACATAATGATTTATTTGATCAAATCACCATTTAAATTTAATAGTTGTAAATCTAAGAAATAAATGAGATTCTAAGCTAACCTGAGATGATCATGAGGGCAGGCAGTCTCAAACCTCTCCGCCCAATCATCTTGATCCTTGCGTCTGAAACCACCTTTACCCAACGCACCAAAGAAGAAGCCTGCCCTCTGTGACAGCACCTCCTCTCTGGTCATCCCACCACCACCGACCTTAGTCTGAGAGGATGCGGGGGATGGAAGGGATGAGGAGAAGGAGGAGGAGGATGGGATGTTGGATGCTGAGATGATAGGAGGAGGAGAAGGGTCTTCATGGAGGATGGTTGCTGTGATACTGCTGAAACGGATCTTATAGCGTGTCATCTCAGCCGCATCATCTAGATGCTCAGTGTAACCTGTAGTAAATCACAAAGACGAGAGATGCTTACTCATGAACTGCTATTAGTTAAAGAAATCATATCAACTGGACATTTGATACCGGTATACAATAACATAGATCACACAAATGTTAATCTAAAATGATTTGTCATTGATATACCTTATTCAACATACAAATTCACAACAGATAAAAAATTATCAAAGAAATATGGCTATTAAACCAATTACAGTATTGAAATGTCAGAAAGAACGGAAAAGCATTTCATTCCCTAATAAAAAATTGATCTAATTGAGTTACATATGGGAGGAATATGTATTGTATCATGATTATTTATCTCCCTCATCACAGACCGGTGGACAAACACAACCTGATCTCCTACATTCTAATACTTCCCACATGCAATTCTCACTTAGTGTTCATGATATAGTTCAAGGTTCAACATTTATTTATTTATTTCCACTTGCATCAAAACAATGCATTCATGAACAGGAACGACAAGTTCATCGTCAACTAGAATAAATTCATTAACAATAACAAGAAAGTTATAAAGACATTCAAAATGTGGAACTTACCTTTCTTGTGCCTGTGTTTCTTGTTTGCTGTAGACCTGGGCATAGCAGTAGCCATAGGTGATGCCCCTGGTGCTCTGTACAGGGTGCTTCCATAGCTCATGTGACTTACACTGCCTGTAAACAAACACATACAACATTGGTGCGCTTCATTATGACAATCAGGTGATCAGATTGCAGACATTTCCATGACATACATAACAATGACTATGTTGTGACCGGTTAACAACAAAAAGATACACAAATATGAAATTTATACAATCTAACAATCTAATCTTATATAATCTAATTCTTTGACTCGCCTCACTTTATCCTGCCCATACGGGTACATGAAATACAGAACAAAGTAAAGAACATATTTCAAGCATTACGCTCATGACAAGAAAAAAACACAATACTTTTCTCCCTCCCCCTCCACAGTGAGAAAAACAGACTCATTATAGTATAAGTACATTGATATGAGCAGTTTTGGAAGTAGTATTCAGATAGGTTTACCTGTGCGACTTGTATCGGTGGAACAAGAACTGATCGAGCTGGTAAAAGATGATTCCATGTTATTGGAATGGACGAAGGTTGAGAGAGACATCATGCTACTCGTCATGGAGAAGAACACATCATCATCATCTACAGGTCAGAGGTCAATAAGAGAGGGGTCTCATTATACATCTCAATGTATTCACAACATATGTTCATTAATTAGTTTTCTACTATACAGAGATAATAAATTGGAAATGATCAAATGGAAAAAATCATATAAATATTTTGATGAGATGGGGATAAGAAACAAATACTGTGGAGGGGTATTTACCTAATGAGTGTTGAAAGGTAGGTTGAAGATCATCATCATCATCATCGTCATCGAGATCATTGTCATGGAGACTCCAAGACTCCTTCCTCATCCTTTGGTCTAACTGATGATGCTCCTGAAAAGACAATCATTCTCTTAAAATGAATGTTTTGATGTCCCACTTGCTGAGAATGGTGTAGCATTGATATTTATTTGTATATACTTCACAAGAGGTCTAGACTGTGACAAATCTTTTATAGGTCATAGGGTCAAATGTCAATGTCGCTTCCACAGTGGAATATTGAACCAATGTTGAGCCATTGAGGATGCGGGCTTTCCCATTGAAGATAGAACAATTGAGGTAGCAGTAGGACAATATGTAAGGCTTAGGCAGGCTTAAAAAAAGGTTGCAACAAAGAAACCTAGTAGACCTTACTCACTCAAGAGTACAAACAGAAATTCTTAAAAGTACAAGGAACACAATTAATATATTCATTGTCATCAAAAGTAGCTAAATATAAACAGCTGATAACGATATATTACCTGTATATCGGTCTCTATTCTCTGATAATCCTCTGGTTGCATCATCTTGTTAGGCTGGCGTCCTCGTACAGTAGCTACATCTGAAGTTGCTACATATAACAAGAAACAGTATGGTTATGGTTTTTATGTTCATGCTAGAGGAACTGATAAATGAATATCGATGAATGAAATACAGACAAAACCAAATGAAACCATGCCCATGATTCCTAAGTGACATGAAGAAAATAAAGGACTCAATGTGCCCTAAATTATTATATCATTCTCCACAAATGGTGATACATACATCCGGTATAGTTTTAATATCTTCATCAAAATTATGGAAATAATTAATGAAACTGAGATACAGAATCAATAAAAGGCACTCCTTACCACTACATTAAGCAAGGGTAAGAACTTACCTGGAGACAGAAATCCACTAAAGAGTTCTGTCAAGAGATGGACTTGTTTAGGAGAAAGGAAGAAATTCACTGAAGCCAGGTAAATATCCAGGTCAGCCTAAAAAGAAAACATAATTGATATAATTAAATTTATTACAGCATGGCATTCTCGAGTGAATCATCTCTTAAACTATCAATATAAGTGTACTACTACATGTCCTCCCTGTTGCCCAACACTAGTGAAAGAATAAAACACACTATCAAATCATCTTTTTCTTTGTGTCTCATCTCTCCGAAATTGATGGGCTTCAGAGAGTACATCAAACTTCTATTCAACTATTATATTTATATCTCATTTCTTCATACAGTGTTCTACTTAAATAGGTGCAAATGCATGTAAAACAAACTGCATTAAAAGAAACCCTTTTGGCATTCATTACAAGAAATTTTATTCAAATTAAATGTTCAGTCAAGCTCTGCTTTTTAGATATTCATATTCTTCTTTGCAATGCATACTTGTCGGACAATATTCTTAAACTGATAACCTCATGCTTGAGGTTTACATCATCACACCATTCAAATTGGAGAAAGGTGAAACATAAACACAATCAAATGACTAGAAAGGAAGAACGCACCTTTGGTCCAGCTATGTGATCATTCTGCTTGATCTTGACTTTGAGTTCTTGCTTGCCAGCACACTCTCCAACCAGACATGACCCTAAGAGGTCAGCTGTGAATGCTGATGACCCATGACCTTTGACCCCATTCATCTCATGAGGATGATGAGGAGGCATTTCAGGGGAGGAGGCTGCATGCAAGAATGTACTCTGTTCCATTCCTCCATTAGTATTCATACCTGTAGCAAATTGGGATCGATGTAAATCTTTTTAGTTTGTATTCATCTACATAAAACTGTCTCAAATTAAAAAGAAAGATCATTCACTGGTCAGAAAATAACAATTTTAATCAATCACAAAGTCTTTTTTATTTTTCACAAAAGAAAAATTCAATGTTTTCATTTTTTAATGTCAAGTATAGCAACAGGTGATACATATAATTTCTTTCTAAGAGCTTTTAGAATAATGTACAAAAAGAAATATATTTCTCCTTTAAACTAATGAAAATATAAACAAAAGGAAGTGTTAAAAGCTATATTTTCCCAAATCCAACAATATTCCAAGGTATCCCTGGGCAACTCCTTACCCTTAGAAGAACCATCTTCAACGAGATCAGCTGATGATGGAGAACTAGAAGGAGAGACAACCCAAACAGACTGACGCTGCTGCTCAGGAAACTCTTCACATCTGACTGTGACTCCCATCATCTGTAGGTTCTTATGTACGAAGGCTGCTGGTTCAAAGCGTGGTGGATCGGCAGGGTCGACACTGCTTCCTTGGTCCCTATGAAGCGCATCCTGAGCATCTTCATCAAAGAAACGTAACCTACAATCAAACATTCAGAGAAAACATCAGTCATATTCCTCTCTTTTTTTGTTTTACCTGGTCTCTGAATGATAAAAAGAATACATTATTATGAGATATTATGACCATAGAGTCTATCTAGATCTGTATCATTCAGTCCTTCCTGATAACTAGGAGCTCACAATTTTTAGGAAACTCAAGAAATAAAACAAATAAACAATTTTTCTATAGTATGTCGTATATCAAGTTATATGCAAACATCTAGCAATTTATACATAAGCTGAACTTACAAAATAAATCTCTATTGTAAAAAAAAAAAATCTGTAAAAAGGGGAAAATTAATCCTCAAAAAATAAATCAAGGGACAGGAGACTTGAGTCTGAGCAACATAGCAATGAATTTTATGACATGAATGCCACAATAGCTGATTGACAGACCTATCCACTCAAAAGACAAGGATTCTTTGATTCTGTAAGGATCTTTTTTAAGAAGCCCGTTCAAGCCCCACTTCTTTATTTCTGCCCTAAATACATCCACCCACATTTTTTAAAAGAGAGTGTTAATAGGCCTACAAAATCTCATGATGCAAGCTTAGCCCACTTTGAAATCATATTCAGTTATTCACAGGAAAATAAAGTAATACTGCACTTTAACTTGACAGTCACCTTGAGTATACACACCCACAGTACAACCAAGTCATCCATCAGGCTAATTCCGGTATAAACCTGACTTTCTTACCAAGAAATGGGACGCTTTTAGACAAGGTAGATATGGATAGACTAGTGCATATTTCACTTTCAACAATGAAAAATCCTTGGAAGAAAATTAAAATGTTCTATATTTAACCCAGGTCTGAGATTGTCTTACACAATACATCTCTGTCAATAGTGTTTTGCCCTTGCAAGGCAGGCATTGAACTCGGCCAGTTCAGAGGACTCAGAGTAGCAAGAAATGACAAGAGAAACTATGGAAGTCTGCAAAGACACGTAGAACATGTAGACACGTAAAACATGTAGACGTGTGAAGGAAGTTGTGAAATACCCTTTTCATATTCTTATTTTAAAGTGGATTGAATCCGGACCCAGTCTGGATCCCAAGCCGATATGAATGGCTTCAGAATCACTTTGCTGAGTTTGCTCTGCACTCAGTATGGTTTTCTCAAACTGCTGTGAGAGAAGAGTAAAGAGCAGAGCAATGTCGCACCAGAGAGTAATTCTCCATGTGAATGGATCTGTATTACTTGATGCAGATCAAGATATTTTCTTAACTTACTACAAAAATAATAATAATACGATCAAATAGCGAGGAAAACACCAGAATGCCAGGTAATAGCAGTTTTGAATATGGAAGGTAGCATACTCCGGAGGCACATCATGTCAGTAGCACTTGTTACAGACGTGCTTCTGAGCAAACTATGGGTAGGAGACAAGGAAAGTCTAACAACTAACAGAGTCATCTAGTTTACTACTCCTAATAATGATGATTGGATTTATATAGAGCTAAATACAAAATGTCAACTCAAAGCGCTTTAAAGATATTATTACCCCAGTCATTTGATTCATTCATGCACAATGTGCACCATCTCCACTCCCTGGGTAGTATTCCTACTATATGGTCACCATGAGGGCATATGGTAATTACTAACACAAAGGCTTCAGTCATCCTACCCGGTCCAAATTTCTCCCTTGGGTATGGAGTGGCAAATGTAGACTAATGCCTTGCCAAAGGACATGAGTGCCATGTCGGAGATCAAACCCATGATCTTTGCATTTAAAGTCAAGTGCTTAAATCACTCGACCATGACACCTCTACTAACCAATATCACAATCAACCTACAGGTACATCATCAACCAAGACCATTCATGAAATTGCTCTGAATTTTAGGAGGAAACACAAGCTTACAATTGTTAAAACATAAGTAGTTCATTACCCTGATGAAAATGAAAATGAAAATAAAAATGACATTCCTACTATTATTTCATAAATTTAAGACTGACTTTGTAATCAACATAAACAAGAGAGGATAACCAACGGTGACAAAAGCGATAGAAAGGAAAGTAACTTATTTATAAATGACTTGACTCCAAAGAATGGCTCATCACATTGGCCTCTGGTATTTTTGCAGCACAGTTGTCAACAAGAAACGATGATATCATTTTGATATCAACCTTTGACTAACAAGTCAATTATAAAATAAACATATGATAGCTGTAGACTACAATAATGAGTTATAAAGTAATTTGTATAAAAGCCTCATTATCATGGCTTTAGTGTCTAGACTTTGGCTCTTCTTTCAGAAACAAGAATACTGCTACATCATCATGAGGTTTTATCAAATCAGAATCCCTTTCCTTTTTGTTCTTCTCTTCTTACCTCCCTCCTCAGAGAGAGAGAGAGAGAGAGAGAGAGAGAGAGAGAGAGAGAGAAAGAAAAGAACATTTCCGCCTTGTGACGACCACCCAGAGGGATGGAAATAATCATTGACAGGCTTGTAAAATAGCATGTTTGTATTTTCAGACTGGTAAAGTCCAATTGTTGTTTGCCGAGATTAGCCCTAGGGGATGCCTACAGACATGCGGAGGATCACAAAGCATTCGGCCTTCACCTATTTCTATCTTTGGTTTGCCGAAAAAAATTCCTGCTAATCGCCTCCTATAGGTGACAGCTCATCCACAAAGAAGGGTATAATAGAGAATTTAATTTGAAATAGGAAACAAAAGCACACGGGTGAAAATTCTCATGTTTTATTTTTTCCCTCTTATTTCTGGAGGCATTATGCTAGAACATGCTTTATTTATACCAGCCTTCAACTTCATCTGTCTTTGTGCTGACTAGCAACATACCAAGCTCCTTTCATACCTTTCTCATGATCACGTTCACGGCCAATCAAAAAAGTTCTAGAATGAACAAAGTTCCCTTTCAAGCTTCCAACATAAAGTGATACTAAACAGAGATGTTTTTAGACTGAGGTACAAAGGAACATCTCTGACGCACGCATGAATCAAGTTGCATGGCACGTAACTGAAAATATTCATGCTGGCCTTGGGAAAATGAAATAAACTTCCAATGAGCAGGAGGCTGGTTAGGGGATCAACATCTATCAAAAGATGTAATGGCTTGTTGTAATCTCCTATAATAGGATTCCATTGAACTTTGCAGCTAAAAAAGGTGGGTCAAGTTTGCATCCTACTCCTGCAACGCATGGCGCATCCCCAGACAGTCGATCCAATGAATTGGCGGCCTTCAACAGGTAATCCTATTGTTACCAACTCACATTCCAAATCTTTTCAAAATACTTAGATGATCACGTTCAAGGATTATTCCTATATCAAGACAGATTTTCTGTTTGAAGTGAGCTAACAAAAAGTTGATATGAATAAATTTCATATTGAGATTCTCATCTGTGATGTGAACTTTGGCTTCCAAAACTTCAATCAATATTTGTCAGTTTTTTAAAATTATGCTTGGGCTCACTGTACATGTAATGCATTTAAACAATGCAAGAACTGCACAGGCCTGCAAAATAATAAAAATTTAAATTCATTTCATGTTTGCAGAGTATTAGACCTTTTCTCTCAATCTCTCATCTACCCTCTGTCTCACCCCTTCCCCACTCTCTATTTGAATTCTCCTATCAACAATTTATTCTGAGTGCTATCAAATTTCTCATTTTGCTCTTGTCCTTCAAACAACAATAAATTTCAACTGAAATTTAACATGCAACAAATCAGCATTCATAAATCAAACAAAGAAATCAAATTTCTCATATATTTAAAAAAAGAATTGCAAGGGAGGTGCTTTCTAATAATAATGTCAGAAGAGGTGAAGGCTATACAACACAGGAGGTAGACTTCAATCAAAATACTATCATTGAATCAAATAACTGGTCAATATACATCAAAGTGTCTATCAATCAATCTAGGCATGAAAGAATGAAATGTTTATATTCCCATAGTAAGTATGACACTTTCATGTGGTATCTTAGTATTCACCTATAATCCATTATACTAAAGTGCTTGTTCAAGGCAATCTTTCCAACTGAATCTATTTGTAGGTTGGGTTGAGATTGAAGGTCTAGAGCATGGGAAAAGAGCTTCATTACAAGGTTATCTCAGCAGGAACAGACCAAGAAATCTTCCACCACTTGCTCAATATAAACATCCCCCTTTCAACACATGAAAACCTCCAATTTTATTGAAAGGTAGAGCACAACATGTAACAGAAACATCAAAGGAGGTGCAGCTCTAAACAATCCTCTATTACTACACAGGTGGTAGAATTGAAATCAAATTTAGAGAAAAAAAACTTTAAAAAGGAATTAACGGCAGAGAGATATACTGATTGCAATGATTTTCTAATATACATCCAAAGTTATTGAAATTAGGTGTTTGGTATTATATATTGAGAAATTATGAGGAATATATGTTTTCCTAATTACTATTTGTCAATGAAACATATATACAGAATTTTTTCTTCTTCAATCTTGCATTTCTTTTAAGATATAATAACAAACAAACTAAAATAATTAACAAAACAGTAGACTTGTCACATGACATCAATTTTGTTCTTCTCTTTTCTACAAGTTTGTTAATATGCACTGACTTCACAAACCTTCATAAATAGTCTTTATAAATAATCTTCATAAATAATCTTTATAAATAATCTTCATAAATAATCTTCATAAATAATCTTTATTGAACTCTGACAGAGTTATTGATGATATAAAGGCTTGTTGTTATGAAACATCAGATGTTTTTTTGTTTGACAGCTATTGACAAGGTGTGAAAAATGATGAGAAACGAGGGAAGGCTTGGTCTGTGATGTGTGAATATTGTGTCATACCTGTATACACAACAGACAATAGGTGATGGTAATACCTGTCTGTCTGTCAACTTATGCCGCTTCCTTCAACCACAAAGACAAACTACAAAAATGTGAAAAGAATTCATAGAGGTTCAGACATGGCAGTCAAGAGATGTTCAATGTCATATTTTTTGCTGGGGCAGGGTTGGAATGAGTTTTCAGAAGTAGAACAAAGAAGAATTCCAAAAAGATATTTGAGGTAGAGACAAGATGAGATGAGTACTACATACCTTTCAATGTGAACTTCTAGAGCTATTCCAGTGCTTGATCCTTGTGGTACATGTTCTAATCGAACCACAGTCTCAATCAGTGTCACTTCAACTCGCATCAAAACTGAAGTAAAAAGATATCAGAGAAAACATTCTTTGTATGCAATCTACCAGCTTTCTTTCCCATATTATAAGAAACAAACAAACAACATACACATTAGGATACACAAAACAATGTTTTAATTATCACCTTCTCTATAAATTTTTATTTTTTAAGGAGGGAGACAGATAACTTGTTTTTCTTCTCATTTTAGTCATGCCACATATTTTAGCATAGATGTAGATCATAGAACATATTAATTAGTACACAATTACATGTACATGAAGTTTGCAAAAGAAGTTTCCTTTTTATGATAAGTTAACAGATGTGAAGTACATAAAACCTACTCCAGTGGCATTATTTCAAGGGCATGTATGACATTAACATGTGATGCAATTTGTACCATACATTATACATGTATATGGTACAAATTGTTTCTCCATTGATATCCACAGTGTCTCCTACACATTCACAAATTAAACTTATCTTGCTTCAACACATAACATATATCATTATGTAAAGCTACAATGTAAAAGGTATATCACTAATTCCATAGACCAAACTTTTTTTTTGTATGCGTACCAAACAATTTAATACATGCTATATAACTGAATGACTGCTTTATAATTTTATAAAAATAAAGAAAACATTCAAGATGAAGTTGAGTTCTGGTCATGCGATTGCATTGTGAAAGAAAGGTGTGGAACCGACCAGAAAAAATTAATCATCTAGCATAAAAGAATTTGTGTGTATTGCAAGGTTCTGGAATCATCAAAATGATAAGAAATGTGGCCAAGTCTTGGTAAAGTTACAAACACTTGCACAGAAAGATGTATATGGGACTACACGAACACGTGGCGTAAAAAGCCGCCCCCCCCCCCAATTTTTACGATGTTACATGCATATTTAGAATATGAAGGCATTTGAAGAGCCATGCTTTTCAGGGAACATGTCTTAACTGATGTTTTTCCACACTTGCATAATAAGAATGAGTAATGCTCACAAATTATTTTTCACCTCTTCCCAGAACTCAACCTTCTCTTTAAGAGACTCAAAACACTTTTTGATTGGATGCCTTTCAAAATCTTTCTCTTTTCAATTCTCCGGTATTCAATTTACATGTACATGCAACTCAAGGACATACACTTTACACAAAACTTATCCACCGTGTAGTAGGAAAGCAAGAATTAATTAATGTGAAGGTTCATGGTTACAGCATTATGTTTATACATTAATATCTTTAGAACCAGCAAAAGGTTGTAAAAAAGAAATCTTATTTTCTATAAACAGGAAATGCAGAGATAAATAATTTTCTGATCTGCCGTGGCACAGATAGTGAAGGACATGCATGACTTCTCTTCAGTTGTAAGTAGGTCAAGCATAACAGTATTCTACAAGAGGTGTTATGTCAGAACAAGGAATACCCTTCAATGAATTAGGTTGCACCATCAACTTAGCCTAGTTCTTATGTTTGACTTCTATTCTACAGATGATAATCAAATTCATGAAATTGTCCTTGTGTATATATCTGTTTCGCTGATTTTACTGTGTGCTCATAAAAACCATATTACACAAGTGATACGCAATGATGTCATACCGTCAGATTGTCGTCTTCATCAATTTAGCAAAGACTTTTTCTTCCGTCACTTTTTATTCTCCTTTAAACAAGATCAGCTACATTTTTTTCTCCAACCGTTTCTGCGTTAACTGGCCAATATCTTCTTTCCTTATCAGAAGCAGTACAGAGCTCCTGCTGCTTCATAAAACAAGGTATTATTGTTATCTCTATATTCTCCCCAGTGCTGATGCTCATAATGCCCTGAACTTTATTTTTGATATCTTCCCCCCTCATCTTCTGTAGTTTGTACATTAATTAATGGATGGTTTGGTGATTAATTTTTACCAGACTGGAAAGAAAGCAAATATATACGTGTAGGTAAGCAACTAGGGGACCTACAGCTCTAAGCCCTATCCAAGGTATTTGGTAATGAGGATTAATGCCTTGCCAAACTGTACTAGTGCATCACCTGAGTTTTGAACCTGAAACCTCTCAGTAACAAGACCACTGCTCTACCACTTTAATAGACCTCTTCATTTTTAATAAGTTTGTTGTTCTCTCTTTCTCTCTCTCTCTCCCCCCTCTCTCTCTCTCTCTCTCTCTCTCTCTCTCTCCTTCCTCTTATCTGCTCTAACCTCATCTTGTCTTGTAATTTTATTCTCTAAATATCTTAATTTTTCAAATCTTACTGTCTAACTGTTTTGACAATAACTTCTAGTACCACAATACTTCGCAACTCTCCCCATGTCTCTCTAATAATTCCTTTCCCCTACTCACCCATCAAATTCCTCTCTATCTGTTTACGTCTCAATGTTTCTCATCCATTCCTTGCTAAGTTGAGAGTGAGGTCATGGTCATGAGTAGCTAGTGATATTGACAATCACCTATTGACCAGCTGGATCTCCCTTCATTACCCCCTTCTTTTCTTCCTCTCCTTCCAACCCTGTTAACCACACTTAATCTGTGATTAATAGAAACCTATCAATCAGTCGCTTATAGTTCATCCTAAGGGCAAGGTCACTACAGGTCAAGCTCATGACTGATTGGACTAGACCATTGGTCATCAACATTTCTTCTAGGCTCCTACATTCTTATTGCCATCTTCCTCCCTCCCCCCCCCCATCCATTTCTCTCTCTCTCTCTCTCTCTCTCTCTCTCCCTCTCTCTCTCTCCCTCTATTTGTTCTCATTCTTATTCCAGTAGTATACAGTCTTTCTATGGGTGGACAACTTTCTAAAAAGGATACCAAACTTTATCTCTCTTGAAGTAATGAAATATGTTTCTGAGATGAACACATGAATAATATATATAATTTTGACAAATGCATAGAAATGACTTGTCACTTCTTTCAAAGCTAGGTATCGCGATAAAGCTTTCATATTAAAAAAAAAATTCTGTAATAGATTTCAAATTTTTAAAATATCGCTTTTTACTTGCCAATTTCTCTTCAGTTTCAGCTTAAAGGCAGAACTCCATATAACTACTATGCAATAATCAGCTCAACCTACAAACATTGTCAGAATAGAAACACCTCAATACATTTCTATTTAAGATATTGATTTGCTAACCCACCTGATTCAATGGTCTGTGCCAGGAGCTCTGGTCCTTCAAAGGGTTGACTGCTCCCTGCCTCCTGCTCCCCTTCTGTAGGATCCTGCTTGAGACATTCCTGGGCTAGCATGATACTACTAGTAAGACTGCTCCACATCGAGTCACTGATACTCCCATTCCCTGTAACAAACAAACAAACAAACAGAAAAAACATTCAAATAATAGTCTCGGAGACTCTCTTGAGCATGATAGCAAATATGTATAAAGAATTAAATAACCATAAACACTATTCAGAAGGCCCTTCAGAACAAACTTCACAAAATGCAAAAGAGAGAACTGAATACCTACATGCTCAGAGGAACAAGTGCCAAGCTCCATTTATACATTTTGAGACTTATGAAGAAGAAGGAAAAACACTTAGTATTTTCATGAATTTAAGGATCATCTTCATATAATAAACAATGCATATGTAGTATAAGGGTTTGATAAAAAATTAAAACATTCTGTTTGTTAAAGTTATCACCTTTTTTTTTCTTGAATAACTAAATAAATGTTTTGATGATTTGGACCCTCTTTTACTCTGTATTCCATTGCAAATCTAGTCTAACTGCCACTGATGCCACATCTACACCACTGAAAGATTAATACTATACTACCAACCTTCTGGAGAGCCATCTTCAGTCCTGTACTTGGGTTGTATAGTAAGCTGTAATCCTTTAATCTCAACCTTGCTACTAGATGTGAGTAGTGATGACCATGGTATCTCAACAGAGATACTTCCAACGCTTCCATCTCGGATCTCTACTGGTGCTCCACAGCTCTCCAACAGCTCATTCAGTGCCTGTTAATATAAGATTAATAGTTGAGAGCAATAGAGATGGATGAAAGGGTAATAGATTGGTTTTCTTTGTTTCAAAAGATGCCTTGTAAATACTGAATACCAGTCAACTTCTATCTAATACTTTGTAGCACTTAATTATTATTTTGGGCATGGTTTCTTAAGTCTACTTAACTCATATACTCATATACTTTTACATGGAATAAATTCCCTTTTGGCTCCCAACAGATGACATACTGTAGAACTATCCACTTCATTATCTGCAAACAAATAAATGTACACATGCAAGTACACAATATGTGCAAGACTTTGCTTTGAAAAACATTAAAGATAGAAATAGAAATAGTACACATGATCACCGTCAATGAAGGAGAATTGCAGAATTCAATGGAAATGAATTTACACAACCCAAATACACATTTCCTATTGAATTGCTTCTCTACAAACTTCCCCGGTACCTTGACTATCCTTGGTCTCTTAAAGTACAGTACAACCATATTGTTTCCGATGTTTTGGTACTTGTATTAAACCACAGCAGACTGTTGGCCAAGATCAAAGGACCTTGTATTACTTCCAGGGTATACAGCCAACTTTTACTTCATTGTATCCATTCAAACAATTCTAGGAACACTAAGTTCATACCAAGTCATATCAAATGCAACCTTCAAGGGTGCAAATGTAAAAGACAACATTTTTAATTACTAACATACATGTAATCTCTTTAATCTGTAATTAACACCCATACTTTCCTAAAACGATTTTGATTTCTGGATAAAATGCATTACTGGTTCTTGCAGTACATGTACACCTGTAGACCCACACATTGTACTTGTTAGCCCAATCATATATGTAAGCACCCATTAATGCTCTGGTAATGGAATTATTCTTCTTTTAAACTGGAGATGAATTAGCCATGCAATCACAGAATGCTTCATTCATAATAGTATTCATGGAGCTTGCTATTGTTAAAAGTGATTGAATGACTTCCAGCATGTAATTCAATGCTTGAAACACTTCATAGCTCTCTACATCTAATAACTTAATGTTCAGTAAGTGAGAGTGTGCATTTTCATTATCTAATAGTTAATAACATTATAATTCATAATTTATGAGAATATCGATATTCTAATATTCTGTTTAATAGCTCTTTGTATCATATCAGGAGTTTATCTGCTAAATACACAGAATACACCCCCCCCCCCATAGTTTCATTTGAGGGTAAGATAACACCTCTCTTGGTTGTAAGATGCAAGATAGTTGTGGTTTCTTCAGCTCTAAACATATATATATATATATATATACCGGTATAATGTTATTGTTGCATGCACATGCATGCATACCAAATTCTCTTGAGCAAATTAATTTGTGTGTGGTTGCCTGGAAAGTACTGGTATCTTTTGAAGTTAATGTGCCTGTCTATGATACACTGCAATTTTATTTTGTTTCATATTACATGTTACATATTCATGAACATGTATGTTGCTATATATATATATACCATGATATACATGTACATGTACTTTGGCTCCCATTGCCCTTAATGTTTCATGATATTCGTTATTAAACTCCAATCATATTTTTATCGTTCAGACAATAGTCCAGACTCTATAAGATGGACTGGCAAACTAAAAGAAAAGATGAGTTGACCATTCTCCCGATGACCTTCATACACATAGCCCTATATATGAAAACATGTCTGAATAAAGGCACGTGACCAAATATATATATTTATATACCGGTATATAGGAAAACTTCAAAACAAGTCACTGAACACTGAAAAAAGTATTTGTAGTACAAAGACCTACAAGCAGAGAAAGCGCAGGGCCTTCACCTTTGGTATCTGTTGCAGATCATCCAATGTTTCAGAGCCTTTTTACACCTTGGCTGTGCCCTTTTTCTAACTGTCTCTTTCATATTTTCACCTTGAAATTGGTGTATGCTATCTCCATTATATGGCATGTAAAATCCTGTTTGTCTGCTGTCTATGTCTTATATCCTTCCTTGATGCCATACACAGCTCTCATACACACACAGCTCTCTCTCTCTCTCTCTCTCTCTGCTCGTAATCTACCCATTGATACACACCTGTACCTTGGTGTCTGCAGATTAAATCAGCTAGGCGACATTGAACGTGCCTTACTTTACACACCAATCACAATTTCCAACTTAAACAAGTATCTAGGTCAGTTTTCTTTGAGGACAAAATATTTATTGTTTTTTATTTCTTATTTCCACTTTGTCCACATCATATCAGAGAGGAAATGAGAATTTTCTTAATTGGTACTGCTGATAACTAATCAAGCCAAGGCCAGCTCAGTTTGACTTCAATTGTAGCTACAGTAATGTTATTTTTGGGGGTATTGTATCACTTTGATTATGCTCTGTTCTCATTGCATTTTCTTAACTATTTATCCTACCGGTAATCTCACAGTCTGTCACATCCACATTGCCATTGAAGATGCATGTAGTGATAATGATTTCATGTAATGAGCCCTTCCTTTAGCTCCTCCCATGTTTTTTATCTATTCTGCAGCACATAGGAGTTCTCTATTTTTATCATGGTGAATTCACATTTCAGTAATACTGATGCGCACTCTCTATCTAGACATAACAGTAAGTGCTCAGCGCATACAATATCAAGGATTAGTTAGTGTACTAAGGCGCAAGCACAGAGTTTGCTGACTTTAAAAACCTCTCTGCATGCCTGCCCCTTTTACCCTAATCACTATTATTGTAAAGTAAGTATTAAATTGGCAACGTGAAAACAGCTAAGTACATTAGATGCTGCTTATAAGTATGGTGATGTAGAAATACAGTAGGCTTACGGTTGCACCATGTGAGAGGATTGGGGAGTCCTGAAAAGAACTGTTGGTAATCTTTCTTGAGCTTATAATTCTAAAGATAACTATGGCGTTGGTAGGAGAGGATCTACCTGTCCTCTCCTCCCCCTTCACCCTCTCACATGGTGCAACCGTGAGCCTACTGTATACATGTAGCTGTACATGTACACCATGATCTCATCAGCTCTTGTGGCAGCACTAGGGTGGGACACGCTTCACACACGTCGAGTCCTCGACCAATGCACCCTTCTCTACAAGATCCATCACTGTCTTGTCTCCGTACCCGCACCAACTATAGTCATCCCTGTTAGATACTTTGGAAGGCAAGACTACAACCTGAAGTATGTAATTACTGTTGCAACTATCGACTCCTTCAAGTTCTCATACTACTTCAAGGAGGCTGCTCTACCCTCCTTCAGAATGATGCAGCCCCCTGTTGGTTCTCACATCATATAAGCTTACTACTAGCTTGGTTTTTACTTACACTGGACTTAGCATATATTTTACTGTAAATTAACAAGTGCTTTGTCCACACACCATTCCAGCGATTCATGACACGCCTTGTAGTTACTCGCCTCACCTACCATCCCAGTATAGCTTTCTGAGCGAGCGACCAAAGGGATTACCCAACCAAGTACCAAGTACCATGTGTATTTGCGTTTGCAGAAGAACCAACATCGTAAACTCTTACGGAGAGGTCAGCGGTTTTGTAAATCGCATGTTAGCTCATTATCATCAGGAACAGGTTGAGGGTAAGTAAAATCATTATCATCAATATCAAATTTTCACAATTTTTGTTAAAATCTTGACTGATTTCATAATGCTTTGTATGTCTACTACTAGTACTACTCTATAGCATTCCTTGTTTCCTTGGGTGCGGTTTTGGTCAGGTTTCGTTTACATCACTCTTCACACAGGGGTGTCAGTGCCAATTAAGGCTACAATGTATTTCATACAAAATCATAGATTATAATGGTGTCATGCATTCAATGATTTTCAAATAACTATTAAGCAACTTAAACTGTGCGTTTGATGAAATATATTTAAGCCCAGGATGGGCCAGAGCAGAGGATGCTACTTGAGGCTCACTAACTAAATCAGTCTAGCCCTAGGACACAACGGTTTACTTAGCAATGGGGCTGATTGCATGACGTCATGCCTCGTTCAGCGACGAATGCATGCGAGCTGTGCTGCAGCTGTCCGTTCGCACCGTAGCAGCCGACAAAGATTTGCTATCAATACCTTGAATATACCTTGAAGTCCACACCTCGCCATCGTGGTGATGAAGATCCCGTAGATAGTGTGGTGTGGCAGGGTTAAGGGGGTCCCATAGGACCCATTTGTTTTGTTCTCGGATCATTATCAAGTTCTTTCTACTCAATTCACTGAAAGCCAGTCCCACAATTCAGTTCAGAAATGACATCATTGCGCTATTTACCTCATTCCTCATATGTTGATACAAAGATCATTCGAGCATCATTTACAAAAGCCTATCATTTTTCTGGACAGTTTTAACCTGTTAATTAGAGTTTTAGCAGAAGTAGGGTATAAAAAATATATTCTAAAACAGTAGATTTGACTAATTTTTATATAATTTGTAAAATATTGTGAAATATTTTTATGGATTCTTGACATGTATATTGTTTGATGTTAGTTTTCCAAAGTGTGAGTGTGCGTAGGTAAACGCCAGCAACCGCGGACCACTCCATAGAAAACTACCTCAAACCGCGGACATACCTGCAATGGGGGACCATCCACGGTTGCGATACCGGTTCCGCCGTATCAAATTTACGACGTAGGGGGCATTTGAATATCTATGTCACAGCGTGTAGGCAACATCGACTGGATCAGTCCGATGTGTATCGCGAAATGTCACAGCGCCCCCTTTTGACTGCGTGGGAGAGGCGCTCGCTACCTGGATCATCCCATAGGAGGTATGTCCGCGGTTTAATGTAGTTTTCTATGGAGTGGTCCGCGGTTGCTGGTGATTACCTACGCGCACACACACAAGTACTAAACTTCGTCCACGGTTCACAGCATTTCCCGGTAGTGATGTGTAAGATGGTGTAAGATATGTGTGATAAAAGATTTATGCACATGCGATAAGTTGTTGCTTATGAATGTAGCTGCCTCATGAATTATGTATATGGAATTTTTGCATGCAGTGTAGCTGCTAGGGACATCAATGTGAAACTGTTAAAGTCTGTACACAGGATATATGGGAAGCAAACTGTTGTGTAGGGCTGTACAACTGTCAGCTCCAATTTGTTACACACAACATAATCGGGAGATGTGCATTTTAGGAAGATATTCTTTAATTAGCACTAGCGGTCTGGAGACTGGAGACTATGAGACTATTGTGTCACATGCATGTACAAGTACATCGCACAGTCCATCGTCCGATCTTTATGCCTACGCTGTGATTTTCTGAAGTCAAGATTTCAAAGCACACAGTTGCCCTTGCGTATTACATTACGTGCATCTGCTACTTGAGTGCAATGGTTAATATGAACAGTAGGGGCGCTGGTCCGAGAATAAGGATACCCTCGTAAAGGCAGACAAATCGCATCCTAAAAAATAAGGATCATCCACAAAAGCCTTTTTTCTTTGGCGCTCTGCTAGTGTAGGGTTACTGATCCGCGTACTGGCAATGCGAAAAAACAGATTCCGCGTGATAAAATACCCCCACTTCACCGTCTACGTTCATAACGCGAGAATCTCTGTGCTGCGTAAGTGAGACAAGCATCGATCATGGAGCATCATCGCTGAATGCATTTTTCGCATCGGAAATGCGCGGTCGATAATGAGTATAGTCTGCGAAAATGCGGACGGTCTTTATTTTTTAGGACTCTGTTTTGTCCGTGTTTATATCCTTGATATGAAAGGACTGTGCAGTGCAATATTTTTCTACATGCATGTGAGTGTGACACGTTAGTCCCATGTCCAGATTGCTAGTGCTCATAAATAATATAGGACTACACCCCTAAGCTAAAGACAAAGTACATATTTGCCACATAGTGTATAGAATAGGCCTAGAAAAAGTCTAGATCTAACTTAGTCAGCATGGTCATTGCCTTTAATTTTTAGTGCACTTGGAAATTATGAACAACAGGGTTCAATTGTCATTCTAGATGATTGCCCGATACCATGACCTAATGACATAACTACTGATAGGTGAGAGTCTGAAAAATATGGCACAAATGCATTACTACAAGAGATAAACTATGTAAATAAATCTAAAAATCATGCATACCCAGACGTCTAACTTCACATCTTTTACTGTTCCAGTGCCACTGTAAATGTCCACACTCAGCTGATCGAGAGTCAATTTCTCCTCTAAGAAATTGCCGACGTATCGCTGAAGTAGATACCTGCATGCCTTTTTCTTGATATAATCAGGCCAAGGGAAGTACCAAGGCATTGTCTTCAATAAATGTCATTAATATAAAGTAGAAAATGAAGCAGAAACCACTATTGTTCGATGTTTGGGATTCCCCCACGAGTTTGTTCACGTCATTCGGCCATTTTCAATGTTTATAAACTTGTTATGAATTTTCACATAACCGAGAGAGGGCGTTTTTAATTTTGTTTCGCTTTGTTTCCATTACCCATTTTTAAGAGTGGCAGACCTGAGGAGTGGGTGCCGTTTACGTACCATTGTGTATCATTAATTCGGGCTCGCGCACAAATCGTAAGCGTTTGAGTAGTAAAAGCGAAGAAAAAGTTCATGCGAACTCAAGGACACACTCGCGAAGTCATCGAGAAAATTCGGTTAACTCCATTATTGTCAGGGTTCAGCAGGCAGGTACGAAACGTGCAGGAGAGCGTCGTAATGCGCATGTCTGTTTCTACAATGAAGCGCTTTTCGCCTGCCCTGGATGTCTAATTAAAGTGGTTCTTGCTTAGCTACAAAAAGTGGCTGCACGACCCAAAGTTATCAGAAGTTAGTTCCATCTCACCTGAGAAACCTCCCAGTTGTTTCTGATTAGCAGCACGCGAGTTCACTACTTTCCTTCAACTTTACTCAGTAGCAACCCGCCCACAGCTCTCGATCAGCCCAACTCTCGATTTACTCGTTAGTATCTGGCATCCAACTCTGCTCTCTTGCCCACGCATTCTTTAATTCCCTCTACTGGTATCCATCCTGTCTTTCATCACAGCACGTTTTCTCCTCGATCGTCCTTACTTTATTTTCTCTCTTCCTTCGGATCTGTAGGCCCTGTTGTCCGTCGCTGGTTGACTTTCAAATTCAACCTTATTCGCGACGAGGCGGAAAAAAGTAACGTAAAGAGCAAACATTCGGGGTCAGCATCAAAGTACTCTTTATTTTGTCAAATTTGATCAAACAGTGCTCCACTGAGTCTGAATTCTAACTCCGCTCATCTTAAATCCCCAATTATTTGTTCACAAACATATTCAAAGTAGATTCTTAGAAGTGATCAAAGATTAACAGGCCTGTATATTGCCGAAAAAGTCATCTTATTTCATTCTGATTTTTCCTATCGGTAGGTTATCTTCGTCTTGATCCAAACGGAATCATGGAGTCGGCACCATCAATTACGCTGACGACAGAAGCGCGTCAAAGATCTTTAAAATGTGAGCCAGCCTGTGATGCGAACGGAAACGTGCCGTCCATGAAATCGGCGAACATAAATGTATCCCCACAGATGAAAGATCAGCAAAGTTTCATCACAAACGGTCATTTGATTCATGAATATCATGAGAATGGAGACGGCAAGCACCACGGAGGTAGGCTCGTGAACGGAACGGCAACCAATGGCATCATACACTCGGTAAACGGGGAAGCCCCAAGCGAAATAACAGCGTCGTCAACCATCACAGCGCCGAAACTTGAATTTCCGGTCAGCGTCAAACTTCTAATGACGGCAGCCTCCGGCGTCGTCTTCGGCTTTGCCATGGAGAAGGGCAGAGGTAAGTCCATCTTAATCATTTTTAAAATTCATCTACATACAACTTTTCAAGATTCTTAGGCCCTGTTTTGAATGTTGATTTGTTAATACTTTTTGAAATGTAATTCATGGTGCCGAAAATCCATGCAGACTATAGTCGTAAAACGACCCAAACTGGTAGCCTATATTCGAACATTTAAAGGTTTTATCATATCTTTATTGATTTGGTTGGTTTATTTGAATGGCAACTGCACTGTGTATACTACATTCGCAGTCAACACTGGATCAGGGAGGCACTTGCTAAAAATGAAAACAATTCGAAATTTACACTCGTGATGCTATTTCGTTAAAAAAAATGCATGCAGGATAAATTTAGATTTTTAAAGATAATCACATAAATATTATTTTCAGTATGGTAACATATTGAATACGCCCAATTCAAATATTGGAAGCAGGTTCTGGTCAGTTCCAAATACCAGTCAATACTAAAGGTGTTGGCCTTTAAAGACGTTTCACAATTAACAACAATATGGTATGATGAGAAGAAAGAATAACATCAATTGATTTGGGGTCTTATGAATGTCATGATGATAGAAATACATGAGAATTGATTATAAAAGAAACTTTTACTTGACTTTTTGTGATCGCTTTTTAAAATAATCTACTCGATGTTGTTACTTATATAAAATAGAACAAACAATGTACTCAAAAATGTAGGCGGATAACAATAATAATGTAAAATATTATTGGTTACGGCATACATTATTCATTGTAAATAATATGCACAAAAAAAGAAAGATATAGAGGTCTCACATGAGTTCTTGAGTGGTTATCTCAGAAAATGTTTACCTGTATTGAACTGTTTATACGAGATTGTCAAACCGAAAATCGAAGCTTGTGTCGTTTCATGTTTCTCTATTTTTTGCAATGATATATTTCATACGTTCCAAAAAACTGGACAATCAATTTATGCAAACACTGAATGCCTATATAGCCCTATACACAAGCGATCAGAAGAACAAATTGTGTATATAAACAAAAATCTGAAGAAGGGAATTACTCGAATTATTTATTTATCAACTTCAAAGATCTTGTCACTCTAGTAATATTTATCAAAGAGTCAGAGGGAAAAAATGAGAAGAACAGAGAGAGAGAGAGAGAGAGAGAGAGAGAAGAGAGAAAGGCACCTTTTCTCAACCATTCAATCTCTTTGAAAGTATACTTCACTTCATCCATTGCTACTATATTTTAATTGATTGCTTTAAACGTTTTTTTTTTTAATGTGGTAACTTACATCGTCATTACTAAGTTTACATAAACCATAGCGCACATCATAAACACGTCCTGCAATGGAGAGAAGGAAAGAAAATAATAGAGAAGAGTTATATACGCTCAGCTTACTTCCTTAAGTCGTTAGTTAACGTTGGAAATTGATTAACTTGTTTTACATCATTTTCTTATTAATGTTAAGTATTATCCGTCCCAACTCATGGAAATATTTCATAGGTTTACACCGTAAAATAAACGCAACATATTTGCAGACAAAGTTTTGATTAATTTAGAATCATAGCGCCGAAAATATTATGCATCCAATAACACCTGCTGTCTGTGCGTAAATAAGTGACGCCCTACATGATGTAGGCGTCTCCTATCTGTTTCCTTCTTACTTTATATATATAATCGATTCATTCAACATGCATGCTCTTCTATATCTAGACCCGTGTTCCGTTTTGTTTTTACTCTATTTGCCATCGTTCTTTTACTTTAATTTCCTACTTCTCCTTCCTTGTTAAAAGTGATCGAAGTATCCATCCGCTGGTCCCCCACCCCCCAAAAAATAAATAAATAAAAATAAAAATAAAATAAATAAATAAATCCTCACTTAGACTATACTTTGTACGTTTTTTCTGTTTTTAGACAAAAAATACCTCACTCGCATAAATAATTACCTCACTCTCACAAATAAATACCTCACTCTCGCTGTTATAGTGTACTGTGTATCTTGTAATCATACAGTATCAATCTGGTCACAGTATATTTAAAAACGTCCATCCAGTGATGGAACAAACATATTTCACGTAATGAGGGTGTCCATGCTAAGTCTAAAGTGATTCACGTCTTATCATCACTCAGTAGTTGTTGGGGAAACATATTTCAATCGGAGGTCGAGCTAGAGGAATGAAAAGTGGCAAATTCGTGCCTGCAGCCGCTGCAAATTGAATTACCAATTATTATTTTCCACTTACTATCTGACTACGAGGTCAAATTCAAGGTTGTTAACATGTCAAAGCTGTTTACAACTTATTATTTTTCTGATTTGCCATTAGCCGAGTATGGAACGCGCAGGTGGAATTATTTGTTAAGTTTGATACGGGGCATTACACAGACTGTAAATTTATGTGGCGTTACATCTCCCCTGGGGCTTCTTGTTGTACTACTCACTTTGAGAGAGTTGATAGAATTACTCATCTTTGTCATAAAGCATTGTTTGTAAAACTATAGGGAATATCACTCTACTAAGTTAAATACTATTTGACGATGATGCGTCTTCGATCCTTTGTACACACACCATTCACAAGATCTAACCGAATCGGTTGTATATTATAATTGAAGGCTTAATTTAAATCGCACTGCAACATCAGGAGAGTATTATGATAAATGATATTGCACAAATCACAGATTAAAGGCAAATATTGAATTCAAAAGAAAACCATTCAGTAACGCTGCATGATATTAAAGGCAGAAAACGAATATGTTGGCAGGGAAATACAAGGAGGGAAGAAGAGATAGAATGGAAGGAAGAAAAAACAAGCTGTTTGGAAATACTGAAACGCCCAACCAAGCAAACGATGATAATTCTAATGAAAATGATTGAATTGATTCAAAGAGAGAAAATTGAAATGAAGGTGAAAGAAGGAGGCTTTTCGCAGAATATAGATTTTTTTTAACATAACATAAAAGACGAAAGTATACTTAAAATCAAACTTTGCTTTGCTAAAACATAAACGTTACGATGATTCTCACTGAGAGACACGTGAAGATAAAAAGTGAAGGCAAACAAAGCAAGCGAGTGATTTAAAAGAGGAACATGCGGTTTCGGCAAATTCAGAGGGGTTTGGTCGTTTTTAAAAATTCAATTATAAAATCATCGACGTGTAAAAATGTTATAAGGAAATAAAAATCGGAGGGTGTAATTCAGATATCTATCAATATAATTCATATTTTTTTTTGTTTCGATGCATGTCTTCCTTAAACGATACCTGGTTCCCTTAGCAATTTGGAAGAAGGTACTAAAAGGAACACTTCTTTAACTCATGATTTACCTCTTCTTTCAAGTGACTTTATTCACCACCCTATTTCGCCCGGTTGTGTTAAATTTGTCTCCACATCTATTTTTATTTTTTCTTCATCGTGTTTCCCGTGTTCAATCTCTTCATTGGTATTGACGGGTTGGGTTAGGGTCAGGGTTTACGTGCTCGACAACCTTTCTCTAGCTGTCCTTCAAAGACACCATACTTTAGGTGAATGACTCCCAAATTCGACCGCTTTCATTTCCCTGTTGTTCACCAAATGTCAGCATCATTCATTTCTAACCATCGCTCATGGTTATGATTATATTCCAGCGAATAATATCACAAAATAACAATATTTCTAGAATGTAATCTTTACAAAGCGAGGCGCCGCCTATTTTTATAATTATGCCGTGAGGCCTTTCAACCTCTATGATTTCCACCGATTCCTCTACAAGGCACAATATATCTTGTCGTCTGTATTATTCTTGTAAGTCAAAGAGCTGTCAAACCAGAAATATTAATAAAGGAACTGCTGACAAAAGGTTCCTTGATAACATCTGATTTTAAGCAGCCTCTTGCGGAGTAGGCAAATCGGATAGAAGGATAGGAGCTACACTATATAGCACGATACCTTTGACCTATATTCTCCGTCGTGGTTTGAAGCAAATACGTTCTATGCATCTTTATAAATCAATCTTTTGTTTATACCCGCTTAAAGTATGACTTGAGACCACTGGGTAGAGAAGACAAGTCAAAGATTAAGTTATATCTTTTTGTTCATGTCAATTCTAAAACTTATGTTCATCCACATCATTATACAAAACTAAAACTTGCGAATTTGTAGTAGTGGCGTATCCATAAAATGGATAAACTTGGGGGAGCAATGGAAACTTGGCTTCTCGGAGCGGGTAGTTTTTGGATGATCGTTGGCTGCTGCATCTTTGTCTCTTTAAATGGGGAGCGTGTTGAAAGCGTCATTTTGGAGGTTAATTTGAGGTGGTTACAGATCTTTTTATCTTAAAATCAAAATCGATGTAACGGTGGGTTTTTTCAGGGGCGGCGGCGGAGGATGGGGCGGCATTAATCTCTCCGTTTAAATGGATGAAATATCCAAACAACTTTATCTGTGTCCATTAAGTTATCATGATTAAAACCAGGAGATGACCACCTACGTGATCAGTGCTGATGAATATAGCGTAAACAGAAAGAGGAATCTTTGCCAAGTATATCCTTCAGATCATTCCATCTTCAGTCATGTGTTTGTGTCTTTTGATCGTTATTAACTTATAGCCCTTCCTGTTTGTTCTTTTTCAATCCAAACTGAGGAGTGCAATAAGGATGTTATGTATGCTTGCCAAATTATAGACCTTGTAGGTGTATTTTCGTAATAGTATGCTGAAATTATATTAGTTGACCTCTAATCTTCAATGTTTAACATTAACGTTTATACACGTGATACCAAACATATCTCGACTCTCGTCTTGTCATCATATTTAGAGCAAGGTCGGTAGTAAAGAATCTGCTTTGTTCCTAAACTTTCGGACAGAGCTGAGAAACGAAAGAAAAAACGAAGAAGTGGAACGCAATTTTACTTCTAACGATTATTGGCATAGTTTTGTTGGCAATAGCTCGCAAGGGTCTAGGTCCCTATAGACCGTCGCGGCGGTCACGGCCGGGCCGTGTTTGTGTTTGAACCTTACGATAGCCTCGAAACAGAAAATGGTTTTCG